ACCTTTCGGATAAAAAAAGAATTATCCAAATCGGTCCACTAGCGGCGGAGTTATGCCGTAACACACATAAAAAAAAAAAATAAAAAAAATATACCGTCGAATTGAATACCTCCTTCTTTTGGGAAGTCGGTCAATAAAACGAAAACGATTTAATCAAAGTGAACTCGTCAGGTGAACGTCGCCGTAAACAATGAATGATAATTCGTCGGTTATTTTGCTATGTGTTTACTGAAGTGGATATATTCTTGCAGTATTATTGTCTATACTTCTATACTGTACTAATATTATAAAGAGGAAAGATTTGTATGTTTGTATTTATTGAAATAACTCAAAAACTACTGGGGCAATTTCAAAAATTCTTTCACAATTAAAAAACAACGTTATCGGTAACATAAGCTATGTTTTTTATTATTTTTTTTAATTTCACGCGGGCGAAGTTCCGAGCAACAGCTACTTTTATATGATGTTATATTAATAATTATAAAAAGAACCGTTTAACGCTGCAGAAGTTTTTTCAACCTAATACAAAGACTTTTTTTATTTTTAAGTAGTTTTTTTTGCGACCATTTTTAGGAATTATTTTTAAATCTCTAATCATTGTTATATTTATTTATCGAAGTAGCAATAATCTAAAATAATAAATGTTGATCTAACGATAGGCTCGTAATCTATTTATCGGTTTATATCTTCCATATCGTTATCATGTTTGCTATTATATTTAGGGACTAGTTGTCGCCCGCGATTCTAACCGAGCGGAATTAAAATACTTAGGGCCTGTCACACGCTGTTCGCTGATTCTCATAAAGCTTGAAAATGGCGTCACTGTCAGATAAGGGAACAAAATCCGATATTTCTATCACATATTTTACAGGTTGACTTGTATTCTACAGGTCTTGGGTTCGAATCCCGCCATGTACCAATGTGATTTTTCGATTTTTCGAATTTTCATATGTACATAATTTACCCGACGTTCTTACGGTGAAGGAAAACATCGTGATGCAATCTGCACATATCGGCGAAGAAATTCAAAGATATGTGTGAAGTCAACCAACCCGCACTTGGCCAGCGTGGTTGACTATGGCCTAGTCACCCTAATTTAGGGCAGGCTCCGAGCCCCTCGGTGGGGACGTATAGTGAGCTGGTGATGATTGTTATCAGACAATTTACAATTTGATGGGACAGACCCTTAGACTTCGTAACATAAATTTATATAAACTTACGGATTTATCATATTAGTAAAAAGTAAGATACAAATATTTTAAAACTTGAATAAATTTTTACTATTGTGTCTATAATCTTTTAACAGCATGTTTTTTAACATCTGTTTCTGCTACATTCGTGTACCTAACGTGTGTGATCTGCATAATAATCACAAGAAGAGGAAATACGTAAAAACGAAATAAAACACCATTTAAAAGTATAAATATATTTTACAAGATAACATTCGTACAAAATACATCCTCAAAAAAATATTCTGTTATTTAATTGCATTAATTTTTAGCATATAAACGTAACATCAAAAATATACACATTTAGCTTAACAAACTATATAAAAATGTTCTGTTACAATTTATATAAGAAACTAGTGATAATAATTATACAAAACAATAATATTCAATTTTCGATGTATATAATTGTGTTTTTTAGACAGTTTCAATCATGAGAGCGATGCCCTGTCCTCCGCCGATGCAAGCTGAACCGATACCACGCTTCAGTCCACGACGTCTGTACCAAAACAATCATATAATAAAATTTATTAAAATTATAACTGCAAAATGTCTTTATTATCTCAAAATTATGCCTATTCATTTTTAATATCTGTAAGTTTTTTTATTTTTTAAAAATTATGACTTGTAATTCGATTACCAATAAAATATTTGTATTTGTATTATTTGTATTTGCCCTTCTCAGTGCTTAGGACGCGGTGACAACATTTTTAACGTTCCCCTCATCAATCCATCTATACTGATATTAAAAGGGTATTTTGTATGTATTGAAATAACTCAAAAACTACTCGATCGATTTCTAAAATTCTTTCATTATTAAAAAGTTACGTTATCAGTGAGTAACATAGGCTATGTTTTTTTAATTCGCGAGCACAGCTAGCTATATCACAAATGTAATACCAGCTGTTGCCCGCGACTTCGTCCGCGTGTAATTAAGAAATAGTAAAGAACATAGCCTATGTCACATAGAGATAACGTAGCTTTTTAATGGTGCTAGTATTTTTCAAATCTTAGTAGTTTTTAAGTTATTTTAATAATACCAAAATACAAATAGTTTCTTTTTATAACATTAGTATAGGTTATTTAAATAAATATTTATATTATCACAAAATTATGCCCTTCGCAGTGCTAAGGATGTGGTGACCGCCTAAGGCTGACATAAAAAGGTCACTTACGACACGCTTTAGGCCATATTTTCACACTATTACGTAAATAAATTGAAAAAAAAAAAACCTTCATGTCAGAAAGGGACCATAAACTACGAGCTACCAACATTAAGGCCGCAAGTTTGTCATTTATGATTTGACATTTGACAAACGTAAACAATAACAAAGTTATTAATTTCATGCGGATGAAGCCGCACGGGAACAGCTAGTTTATACTATAAAGAATGTCTAATAAATATCTCGCCCAACGGTAATATATATTAGTGTCCAATTTAACGTTCATCCGTTCGCAAAAATAGACCACAAGCTGAACTTAGATTGAACTTTGTTCTATTGATATCAGTATGAGGATTTGATAATATATTTTATCAACGAAAATGCTTTTTTAACGTCACTTATTTTGATATTGTTATGAAATTGATAAAGTGACTATTAATATTGTCATGATTACTTTACTATTTTAGATCAGAATAATTGGATAGAAGTAAAATAATGTAATGTTTTGTAACTGAAATAAAAACGTAAAATATGGAAGGGACAAAACCACAGGCCAAAAGCAGCAAATAAGCAAGCTTGGTTACTTATAATTTAATAAGAAGCTATACACCAACGACACGCTATAGGGCAGGGGTTGCAAACATTTATGCATCGAAGTGCCATTTTTTAAAGAAATGTTTAATACGATCTTAGGACATACCATCGAATAATTTATACTGCGATTTTTACAATTCCATAGTGTATCTACTTCATATTATTTTCCAAGTGTTTTATGATTATCAACGTGCTCAAAATATGTCTTATTTATGGCACGCTGCATTTATGCCAATGGTTCGCCAACCCTGCTATAGGGTTTATATTTTCACGCTATTAAAATTAAGGGTAAGCAAAATGAAAAAAAAAACTGCGATAAAGGGACAGAAGAGATACTATGCAAATACCATGGTTATTTGAAATTTTGGCCAGCAAAGGCCTTTATTGTTTTTAGTACATTTGTAATAGAAACTTTTACGGAATGTATAGAATAAAATTAATCATACTAATCATACTAATATTGTAAATGCGAAAGTTAAGATGGATGGATGGATGGATGGATGGATGGATGTTTGTTAGTTTGTAGCCTAAACGGCTGAACGGATTTAGATGAAATTTGGTATGGATGTAGAGGATAGTCATGAAGAACACATAGGCTACTCACTTTTGTTCTTTTTAATTCCACGCGGACGGAGTCGCGTACGAAAGCTAGTGCTTAATACGATGAAAGCCACACTGGTGTTTAGTATATCAGCGTACCTGAGTTCGTGTACGAGGTGGGCAGTGATGCGCGAGCCGGAGGCGCCGAGGGGGTGTCCGAGCGCGGTGGCGCCGCCGTTCACGTTCAACTTCTCCAAGTCTAACTTCAGCCCTTTAGCACAGGACAGTGTCTGCGCTACGAACGCCTCGTTGATCTAATTCCACATACATAAGTTATAGATAGATTTAAAAAATATATACAGGAAGCATAGGACACTTTATTTGAGACGATTTTTATATTATAAGGTGGCAAACGAGCCAGCGGCCACCTGAATCCGCTCAAAAGGCGAAGCGACCGCTACCCATAGACATCGCAATAACGGGTGCGTTAAAGAGACACACATAAAGAGGACATTTCTCCTTCCTATGTCTCTCCTCCGCCGTCAAATCTACTTTTCCTTCCCATCCTTTCCTCTTAAGAATAAGGTGGAATGGGAAAAGGACTAAGGCCTCCGGCACCACTCTCATCAGGCGAAACACGGAATTGCTTCCACTTCACGCCTGTTTTCTGTGTGGTATTGGTGTTACACCAAGCGAGGCGGCCCGTTCGTGCGAAGATGTTAAAGCGGACTCTACTACTTGTAAAACTTGGATGGATTGTGTGTAAATTCAAATATGTCAGCTGATAGAGATGTATGAAAACGCACATACTTTGAGAACACAATATAGGGACAAGGGTAGGTTGATGGAGTTCTTCAGTTTTTGGGGTCCAAAAATACACGCTAATTGTCAAATTGCGGAATACACTCTAACTAAATAGGACATTCCATTTCTCTACACATAGTACTGTGTACATTTTTACAGTGGTAGTGCCCGCTTTAACATCTTAGCAGTGCAGGGCACGCCCCCAGTAATACCACGACCACACAGAAGACAGCCGTCAAATGGAAGCGATTCCGAGTTTCGTCTGATGAGTGTGGTGCCGGAGGCCTAATTTAAGTCCCTTTCTCTTTACCACCCTTATCCTATAAGGAGAGGATGGGAAGGGGAAGTGGATTTGACGGTGGAGGATATGCATAGGAAGGTGAAATGTCCTCTTTATGTGTGTTTCCTCCTCTGTCGGATAAGGGTAGGCAACGCATCTGCAATGGGGATGTTTCCTAATTTTTGGAATTGCTTTTATTATGTAGATAAACCATATCTAAACAAGGAAAAAAATATAATAAAATCATATACGCAACATTTAATTACAAAAACACTTAACTAAAAACAACTTCTCGAAAGACCGTGAAAACGCCTCATGACATGACGTCACTTCTTTGCTAACAAACCTCGCGTCGCGGTCTGTCAAAGTCATTCAAAGTGACTAGACGTAAATTGAATTAGCTATTCAAATAACTTTTACTATTTTTTTTTCGTCGTAGTGATCAAAAAATTTGCTTGTAAAATATGTCGTAAATATAAAAACACTTAATAATGGAGTCCTCATAATATACTCCTATATACCTCATAAATATAACACACGCAAACTCAATTATTATAATCATTAAAAAAAAATTATAACTACAAAATGCACTGACATTGCGAGCTCTGATTGGTGTTTGAGATAGAGTAATGGAGGGTAAAAAACATTGCAGCGTTTTTAATTTATATTTCAATGGCGACAAACATTTAAGGTCTCCAAATGTTATTATAGGTTTTAAAATACTGTCTTTAAAATATTAAACATAACTTTATTTGAATTTGTAACATTAGGAAACATCCCCATTGCGGATTTTTATGGTCGGTCGCTTCACCATTTTGGCGGATTTAGGTAGCCGCTTGTTGTTTGCCACCTAATGATAAAAAAAAACATAAACGCAAGTGGCAAAGGATATGGATTTTTGTTAGATTTGTAGGGTTTATTGGTATGTTAGTTCCAAGGCGATAGTGAAATGTGATCTTAAAATATTAGGTATTTTTCAAAAGTAATAAAGCCAGATAATAGTTATCATTCTAGTTAAGTATTCAACTAGTTAAATGAATATTAAATTTAGATTAAGTTACAAGTTTAATTGTTACTTATTTGCAAAGATAATAAAACAAATAGGTACTTAAGTGAATATTTTTACAAATTAAGCAATTTTTAATTTAAATAACTTTATATGTGGGAACTGGCATTGTTCTTTTTTGTTGTCAAGTTAAATGTTTCTTAAAAGTTTTTGTTATATATTTTTTTAATATCCGTGTTTTTATTGTAATTAAATACTTTGTTCAAATCTAATAAATCATTTAAATTATATTGTATTATATAGTTTTTGCCTAATTAATTGTTTACAAATTACAATCCTTTGGAAACATGAATTTAAGATCAGTAACAAGATTTTCAACAAAAAATAACGCTTCTAAATCTCATAAAGACGATTATACTAAGCGCCATATTCTAATAGTTTTTGTTACGGACTACCGATGTTGCGGTCGAAGGTTCGAATCCCGCCTCGATTGTCGTGAACCATATCCTAGCACAAGCTTACAGCTTAGTTGGAATGGTTAAAGGAAATATTAGTAAATTAACAAAAAAATCTATTACTTAAAAAAACTTGGCACGTCATTTATTACAGTATTGTAGGTTTAGTAGTGGTAGTGCCCGCTTTAACATGTTAGCACTGCAGGGCACGCCCCCAGTAATACCACGACCACACAGAAGACAGGCGTGTTCGGAATAGCCATTTGACGCTTCTCATCAGACGAAACACGTCTGATGAGTGTGGTGCCGGAGGCCTAATTTAAGTCCCTTTCTATTTACTACCCTTTTCTTATATGGAGAGGACGGGAACGGGAAGTGGATTTGACGGTAGAGGAGATGCATAGGAAGGGGAAATATCCTCTTTATGTGCGTCTTCTCCTCTGTCGTAGGCAACGCATCTGCAAGTGCGGTTGTCTATGGGCAGCGGTTGCTTTGCTATTTTGGCGAATTCGGGTGGCCGCTTGCTACCTTATGTGCTATAAAAAAATGTGCCAACTGATCTTACCTCAACTAGGTCGACATCATTGAGGGTCATGTTGGTAACTTTGAGGAGGTTTTCGATAGCGGGCACGGGGCCGATGCCCATGATGCTGGGGTCCACGCCCACGTACGACCACCCCACCAGCCGCGCGAGGGGCTTCAGGTTCTTAGCGGCTGCCTCGCTCGCCAGCACCAGAGCACCCGCACCGTCGCTTATACCCTATTATACGATGACAATTTCTTCGAAATTTGTTTTGATAAACTAGAAATCCACACTTTTATCTGATGGCTAGATTGTAAATATTAAAAAAAAAATCATAGACAACATTTAACTTTAACCCTAGAAACAAAAATAGCACGAAAGTATAAAGCCCTGTCCCACCATTGGCTGATAAAGGCTCAGATAGATTGAAAATGACGTCACTGATAAGGGAACAAAATCCGATATTTCTATCACATATTTTACAATTTGGATTGTTATCAGATAATTTACAATTTGGTGGGACAGGCCCTTAGTATAGTAAACAGAACTATGTAATAGCAATTAGGGGGAGGCTGAAAACCAGCGCTTTATCTAAAAACTGATTTGTAGTTTTTTTTATTTAATTAATTTTGTAAATTCCGTTTTTTTTAGCTTTTGGTTATTTTTACGGCTGCTCGCAGTATGACTTACAGAAGCAGTGCCGGCGGTCACAAGACCTTCCTTCTTGAAGACGGGGGGCAACTTCTTGAGTCCATCCAGTGTGGTCTGCGGCCGCGGGTGCTCGTCCACCTCCACACGCACCTCCTTACGCTTCACAGTTAGTGTTAATGGTTCGATTTCCGCCTTGAAAACCCCCGCATCATTCGCTGCAAGAGAACATTAGTTACTTGGTTTCCTAAATCTATATAATAAAGCGTAAACACACACTTCTTTGTTGCCTAAGATGTCAGCAATCACAGCATCTTTTTGAATAATGCTTTAATAAAAAGCCCTACACTTAAGTCGTGCTTGAGGCTGTTTATTAAACTTATGGAGTAAAATAAATTGGATAAAAACCTTCTTGTGGAAAAGGGACAATAAAGCTACCAACATTAAGGAAGCATTGAGAATTTAATAAATGTAAACAATTAAAGCTTTTATAATTTCATGCAGATGAAGCCGCATGGGAAAAGCTAGTCGGTGATAAAAATTCCCAGCAAAGGAGCTCACCAGTCTTCCACCGTTGTTGAGAGCGTAACGCAAACTCGTCCACCTCAGTCCTGGTGACCCCGAATTGTGCACCCAGCTTCTCCGCAGTCATACCCATTGGTAGACCGCAGTAGCTGTCAGTGAGGCCAGCCCACAATGTGTCCTCGAAGGCATGTGACGTGCCCAGTGTGGTACCGAACCTAATACCTCGCACAGCGAATGGAGCTTGGGACATATTCTCCACGCCACCGGCTAATGATATATTAGCTGAACCGGTTAGGATATCCTGTAGAACGTAGGGAAGATGATAACTATGGAAGTCACAAGATATTGAGAAAATCGTAACGTCTTCTAAGACAATAAGATATGTATTTACATAGAACTGAAGTGAACCTCTGAAAACTATAAAAACTGCTATATTTAACAGATTGATTTCTTCTGATTTTAACTCAAAATTATCTTACTAATATTATAAATGCGAAGTTTAGATGGATGGATGGATGTTTGTTAGCGTTCGTAGCCTAAACGGCTGAACGGATCAGCACGGATCGGCACAGGATTAGAGCATAGTCTGGAAGAACACATAGGCTACTTTTTATATCGGGAATAGTTACGGTTCCCGTAGGATTCATTAATTTAGTTTTTTAATGTTTACATGAACAATCTGCAACGGTTCCACATATCTTATTGAAATTTGGCACAGATATAAAACAAAGTCTGGAGTACACATGGGATAAGCTTCATCCCCGAGACATGTCCGGTTCCCGAGGAATACGCAGCTTTTTGTAATTTATATTGTTCGTATGTTTTCTAATGCCACGCGGACGAAGTCGCGGGCAACTGCTCGTCTTTAAATAAAAGTATTCTGCTTGGCAATTTCAATAAACAAACCAGTATCAGGATAAACATCTCTCAAGGGTCAAATAAGTGATGTTTTCGTCGTACGAGTCAAAATATCTGGTGATTTGATAATCATAGAAGGGCGAACAAACCTGCGCGCTGTTAACGATGGACTGGAATCCGGAGCCGCAAAGCCTGTTGATGCCAAGCACTGGACGCTCTTGCGGGATACCCGCCTTCAACGAGGAATGGCGCGGCGTATAGATGCCGTCCACTTGCGATGCCTACACGATTACAAATATCATACAACCCTTACAACGTCTCCATAATAAACAATCTAAAGCCATAGAGGCTTAGTTCTGTAACCCTTATCTTAGGGGTGGTAGAACTCAGTAGTGACTTACCGACATGACTTGTCCGATAACGACACTGTCGACCTGGTCTGGGGCGACGCCGGCCTCCCGCAGCGCCGCCGCTGTGGCCGCCGTCTGCAGCTCTGTGGCTGATGTATTGCGGAACACACCACCGAAAGTACCGAACGCAGTGCGCTTAGCGCCTACTATGAAGATACCTATGGACAAAACGATATTGTCTTTTTTAACTCAATTGTCACCTCCCATCTTTACGAGAAAGTGGTGGGAAGAAGACTAATATTAGGCCTATCAAGATGACTAGCATGGTTACTTAGTCACTATGTGCAAATATCTCATGCTTATTGATCATTTGACGACTCAGAGTGTAAAAAGTTTGAAGTCAGATATGTTTATGAATCAACTTGCTTTCGCCCGTGACTCCTTCCGAACGGCATTAAAAAAATGCAAGTAGCCTATGTGTTCTTTCAGATTATCTACTACATCTATGCCAATTTTCATTGAAATCCGTTCAGCCGTTTAGGCTACAATCTCTTACAAACATCCATCTATCTAAACTTTCGCATTTATAATATTAGAATGAAATATAATGTGAAACTGTTGCACAAATGTGGTCTCTATCTACCCCAATCTAAATTCGTGGGGGTAAAAATTATTTGTTATCAATAATCAGAATCTCTGTCCAAAGATAAAACATAATGTACATCGTTCGTAACAAGACTCAAAGTCCAGTTGGCTACATGAATGAAAGAAAATAAGTAAACAAGGATTTCCGTGTGTTCGTTTATACAATTAGACCCTGCTTAGGATCTAATAATAAAGTGGCAAAATAACTGCCACATCACACCTTGTAATCCAACAAGTTATTTTATGAAAAAAAAGAATCGAAATAAAACTTTTTTAACCTATATGCAAAAACTAAAGTCCAACTTTTAAATAAAGAACCATTAACCTTAAATAATTTTAACGTATTCCCGTTTATGCGGTTGTTGTATTTTTTTTTATTCAAATAAGGCTATATTATGGTCAGTACCAACATGTACTAAAAATTAAGTAAACAAAGTTAAAACTTTGATCGAAGTTAATCCCTAATTGCACATTGAATTTTAAGATTTAGAATATTTAACATATTTCATGAAATAAAGATTTTTAAGACTTAAATTATTATTGAATTATTTTATATTCAATAAATTAACAAAAAATAGGAATATCGATATTAACTGGAGTTTGACCCCGAGTGATAAGGTCGAAGAAGAAATTTTATTGAGTAATAAGAAAAAGTAGTATTTTAACAAAAAAAAGATCAAACCTTTAACAGCTACAGACATTGTGTTGTTTAACAATATTCACAAATAAAAACTTTATAAATTAAAACAAAACTTTCTTTGATACGTAGCAGAGCGTAGAAATACAACATTAACTACGTCCTCACAGATTATAAAGTGGTACTAAACTGAAATTTAGGATCGGTGATTGTTAAGTGATACGTGATGTGTGGCCTGAAGTAAGTAAACATTAGAGAAAAAATGCTTTGCTGCATGCAGCTATTGATAAAAGTACGAAAGGGAAGTTTAGCAAATGTCCTGTGAAACTTAAAACAATGTGTTTTATATTTCGTTAACCTTCGACTTGGAAGGGCGTTTAAAATATTTCGTGTTTATAAATAATAGGATTAAAGATAAATAAAATTAAGTGGAAATATACCAAATAGAGTTCACAAAGCAATTTAACATAATGAAATAACTTTTCATAATTCATGTTGTTGGTCTGTGGAAAAGAATATACTAAATATGGTATCTGTGCTGGAACTGTCAAAACTTGATCTCTATTTTCTCCCGGATTTTATCTACAAATTGCTTCTGTAAAAATATGCTTATGCAATGAGCGATGGTCGCCCTGTAAGTGGTCAACTGAAGAAATTTGTTTTTCGTGGGAAATCCGCAAGTAACGGGGATACACGAGGTGAATATTTGGAAATTGTAATCCCGGAGTTGTTGTCGGCAGGCTACTCGTTTTACACGTGGCCATCAGCACCGCTTTTAGCTTGGTATTTGTGGACGCAGCGTCGGCATTTACGCGGTTTAAGAGTCCTAGAACTGGGCTGCGGCACAGGGTTACCAGGTATATTGGCTGCTAAGTGCGGCGCCCACGTTACCTTGACCGATAGTGTTGCTCTCCCCCGATCACTGCTACACTTATCGGACTGTTGTGAAGCTAACGGGCTGGTACCGGGCCGAGACGTCCATTTACTTGGTCTCGCTTGGGGTCTATTTCTTGCAGAAGTTCATAACTTGAGACCCGTTGATTTGCTCTTAGCTTCAGATTGTTTTTACGAGCCGTCACAATTTGAGGAAGTTCTTTCTACAGTTTCTTACCTACTTGACGGTACTGACGGTCGATTTTTGTGTGCTTACCAGGAACGGAGCGCCGATTGGTCCATAGAAGCTCTGCTTAAGAAGTGGGGACTGAAAGGTTCACTATTGGATTTAGATTCACTGAGTGAAAGCTCTGGGGTAGACTACAGGGCCTTGATAGGCGACAGATCCTTGCATTTACTTGAAATAATTTCTGTTTAGGGCATGGCCAGTACCGCAAGAGCAGCTCGCCTGTACGTAGGCAATCTCCCCTGGACTGTTAGTCATCGTCAACTAAGAGAATACTTTGCTCAGTTTGGTCCAGTGCAAAGTGCTAGAGTAGTGTTTGATAGATCTACTGGAATAAGCAAAGGTTATGGTTTTATAGAGTTTTCAAACACATCTGCTGTTGCCAATGCAACCAATAAACAACTTCACACAATAGAAGGCTATAATTTAACAGTTCAAGCCCAAAACAGTTAATTCATCATGGCTGAGGCACTACCAGAATATCCTGACTCTGACTTCTCCGATGAAGACTTATCACCACTTGATGTATCTTTTAACAAAGCCACAAACCATGTAAGAAAAATAACCTCAAAATTAAACAATGGTCAGCTCTTAGAGTTGTATGGTCTATTCAAACAAAGTACTGAAGGCAACTGTAACACTCCAAAGCCAGGTTGGTTAGATGGGAGGGGACGTAAAAAGTGGGAGGCATGGAAAACTTTACAAGACATGCCAAGTGATGAGGCCAAAGAGAAATATATTGCATTGGTTGAAAAATATGACCCAGAATGGTGTAATGGAAATATCGAAAATAAAGGTGATAAAGAAGCATGGGTGGCTGTTTCATCACTCCGTTACAGCCCAGAACCGGAACTAGTGCACAACGAATTATCCATCTTAGAGGCTGCTAGAGAGGACCTGGGAGGTAGAGTACAAGAACTGTTAACCCAATATCCAGAGCTTAAAAATAACAAAGACGAAGATGGCTTATCTGCATTGCACTGGGCAGCAGATAGAGATGCAGTTTCCGCACTAACTGCTGCCATTGAGGGTGGCTGTGATATAAACGCTACAGATGACAGCGGCCAAACTGCTTTACATTATGCTGCTTCTTGTGGTCACATAAATTCAACTAAATTGCTTATAAAGTATGGAGCTGCTATACTTAAAGATGAAGAAGGCAGTACTCCACTAGATTTAGCCGCAGATGATGAGATAAGGAATATTCTGGAAGGTGCATAGTAGTTTAGTTTTATGGGCATTTAATAAAATTAGAATTGTACATTTCATTTACAAATTGTAATACACAAAATAAAGTTAGTTATGGAAATATTTTTTATTATTATGGTGTATATTGTGGATAAAAATATGCTTAAAAATGGTAAATATATTCATAAACACACTATGAAAAAATTTATAACTTTGTTACCCTCCTTACCTTGAAAGGAAAAATAACATCCATAGGCCTCACTAGGGTGGCACCTGCAGCTCCTAAAGACTCCAAAAAATGAATTAGTCACAAACCGAGCCAGACATTGGCTGTCGTCACCTGTTAGAACCAATTATTAATAATTAATAAATAATTTAATAATAAAAACTAATTAATAATCCACCCTGCAATCATATGATTTATTTTACTAACAAAATGTTAAACTTATTTGTTACATACATTGTTTTAAATCTCCACATTGGCAATAAGTAGGCAACTTATATTTCATATTGTTGATTTTATAGTATATTTGCCATATTTACATATCAAAGATTTTTAGATGCATTATTTGAAAAATTAAACAAGAATATGACGGGACATAACTTCTCAAGTTATTGTAAAGATTCTACATTTGTGAATAATCGAATCATAGCATAAATATTGTTACATTTTTTTGCTCAATAAAACTAGTCATCGTTAAATTTTTAATAATAAATTGAACTTTAGTCCTTGTTCGCGTAACTTTTTTAACCGTTAAATTTCAAACTCAAAGTTTCATTTCTCAGTGTTGCATTCCAAGCTCTAAGCAAACAAAACAATAGTGATTTCAAAGCATTCATATGAGAATTTTATATAAATAAGATAATGAAAATATAGTTTAATAATTAATTTTAATAATACATTTATTATGATTTATTTCATGATTTAAGGTTGATTTCAATTAATTTGAAAACTGAATTCATTTACAGTACTTAAAAATAATTTTCATTCAAAGTGGACATTTTAAAAATTTTGTAGGTTAGAATTATGGTATAATAGGACACGTTTTTCCTAACACCTAAATAAATTACTGTAAAAAAATCACACCGTTTTCGCACAACGTAAGAAAATAATGCACACTTAGTCCTTACAACTTAACATTAAGTTATTTAGTCTTAAATATCATTATCGCTATACAGTCTGTGAGAATTGCTTCCTTAGTTACATGGTCAGAGATGTGGGCAAATTATTGCCCAATATTGGACATGTGGGCATAGTCAAACAATAGTTCACTAACAGCCCATTTGTGGGACTAGCCCAAAAAGTTAAGTGGACGTGGGCTTGTTTGCCCACTATTGGTCGTGAGTTTATTTGCCCACGACTGGGCGTGGACTTGAGTCGACTATTTGCTAGTTGTCCTTTGTATCCTTGTGTCCCTCCCCTGAATCCAATTGCTTAAGCAACCTGAATAGTGCTGCTGCTTCCCTGATTCTACTGAATTCTACGCAGAATGCTTCCACTTCTATAAACAGTTCCTGTAACAAATAAAATAAACATATCTACCATATTTAGGGTCAATTAAGTGGCTGCTTAAGTACTAACCGGTCTGACAGAATAGACAATGGACTAATTTAGTCTAGATTCAAAGGAAATGAGATATTCTAACAAACCCATCTAAAGAAATCTATCTTTATAAGTCTTATTAAAAACAGACATGTTTGTGTCATAAATTTAAACACTAGAACTTTCCTAGATATACCTAAAGATAACAATTGTCATTGTCACATTTGTTAAATCTATATCTTAATAAAATTAAACTCCTGTTTTCCATAAGTGAAAACAAAAAAGTTTTTAAAAATATTGTCTGTCTGCCTGTCTGCAAGCAATCTCTGGAATGGCTGGACAGGTTTAGACAGGTCTGATAAATTACTAGCTAGAGGTAGCGAAAATATCACCATTAAGACTTGCATGTAAATATTTCTCATTTCTATTGAATTTCAAATTAGCAGTCACCTTGACGTTGATAATCTTGTTCCTGATGAGGGACTGCAGGAAGACGCAGACGAGCCTGACGAGCCTGTTCTGCATGTAGCGGTCACGGATCGTTTCGCAGGTGGAGATGCAGTTGCTGATGTACAGGTGCACGAACTCCACTGGCAAGTCCACTGAAGTGGTTAGCCTGCGAATAGATGACTAAGTTTCTATCTTACAATAGATGGCGCTGTAAATAATTTACAGCAACAGATAAATGTTTTTGTCTTACAAAAGATGGCGCTGTTTTCAATAAATTGAAAGCATTGCCGATTAATCACTTTCTTGCGACCCCATCATATTACCATACTAATCATACTTTATACGAATATTATAAGTGTGGATGGATGTGGATGGATGGATGGAAGGATGGATGGATGGATGGATGGATGGATGGATGGATGGATGGATGGATGGATGGATGGATGGATGGATGGATGGATGGATGGATGGATGGGTGAGTGGGTGTTTGTTAGTGTTTGTCTTCTAAACTGCTGAACGGATCTTGATGAAATTTGGCATAAATGTAGAGTATAGTCTAGAAGAACACATAGGCTACTTGCTTTTGTGTTTTTTTATTTTTTTATTTTACGCGTGCGAAAGCTACTATGGAAACGAGTAGACAACGTATCTGCAATCGCGGGATATCCATGGTCGCTTCAGTTTTGGGAATCGTTAGGGAATTTTGCATTTATGTTACCTGTTGACGACCTCCATGGAGTGCAGCGACATTTCCATGTTGACGAGCACGCTGAAGTACTCCGTGATGTGCTGCGAGTGGATCAGCTTCAGCAGCACGGAGATCGCCACCATCGGGTTGTTCTCCACCAGCTCCGGCAGCTGGTGATCACATGTATAACATACATTCATTGCCATACTTATTAATACTAAATAACACCAAAGCATCATAAAAAAACATCCACCGATGGCCTAGGCTTTAGGGATAGAGAGGAAGCAATTCCCCCCCCCCCCTAAACAATAAAAGAAGTTGTTATTGTATTTTATTGGTTTCTAAGGAAGGTCCTTAGTACAGACTTTCACAGCTTCCGTCCCGGTAAACCTTTCCTTCTTACTTGATAGGGCGTGACTCCAATCTCGTAGACGACGTTAGGGTCCTGGTCCAGGAGCGCCAGCAGCCGCTGCTGGTGCGCCACGCTCAGCGCGCCCTTCAGCGCCAACTGCGTCAGCTCGCGAGCCTCCGCCGCCGCACTAGCCGCACCCCCGGCAACCCCCGCAACCGCCTCCTTCTCTTCTACCTTCTTTTCCTCACGCTCTTCTTTTCTTTCTTTCTTCTCCTCCTAATACAAAGAACAGTACCGAGATACTAGAGACCTGGGCGATTTCTATAGCATCCAATTTTTCCTTGCTTTTAGGGAGCTGCTAATAAGATGTGAAACTAAGGGCCTGTCCCACCACTGGCTGGTAGAGGCTGAGATAGTTTCAAAATGACGTCACTGTCAGATATGGGAACAAAATCCGATATTTCCATCACATACTTGACATGTTGAATTGTCATCAGACAATTTGCAATTTGGTGGGACAGGACCTTAAATTTGCAGACCTATGTGATCCTTTACTGTCAAGCGCCCTGGGCGGTCAAATGAGCCCTACGCTAACTTTGGCACTGCCCATGAATGCATTCAATAAGAACTATCTACCTTTTTACTTTTATAAATATAAAAATACTAGCTGTTCCCATTCGACTTCTTCCCTATAAAATTATAAAAATTTCATTTTATTGTTTACATTTGTCAATTTATCTGTCTGTCAAAATGACATGACATGATGTCAAACCATGGCAACCTTGCTTGATGTTGGCAACAAGGTTTTTTTCCCACACTAGTGTTTTTATCCAAAATATTTACCCCTAATTTGAACGGCGTGAAAATATATAGCCTAAAACGTGACGAAAGTGTAGGGCTTTTTATTAAACAACAGAGTTATTCGAAAATATACTGTGATTGCTGACATCTTAGGCAACAAAGAAGTGTGTGTTTACGCTTTATTATATTAGTATTGAAGTATAGATAGTTTTGTCTACAAAAATTTCTTGTAGTATGAAGTACAAAAGTAATACATACTAATAATAGGAGCTGTTACCTTTGTTTTATGCGGTTGCACAACTCGTCTTTCTGGAACTTTCTCTGGTGGCTTCAATCCAAGCAGTCCTTCATAGTCAGTGTCATACAGCGGTAGGTATGCACCATGGTTTACTAGGTTTTTCCAAACACCCTGTAACATTAATAATTTAAATTATAACTTTCTAATATCAGGTCACAGACTTTTCTTCCCTTTAAAACCGACTAATTTTATAAAGGCGAAAGTTAAAATGGATGGATGTTAGAAGGTATCTCCGAAATAGCTACATGAATTTCGATGCAATTTGGCATAGATGTAGAGCATAGTTAGGAGGAGCACATCGGCTACTTACAGATATTTTTTTCCCACACAGATGGAGTCACGGGTAGAAGCTAGTAAAATATAATAGTAATGAAAAGAAGTAGTTGTCAATTATTATCAGTAGTAGGTGTCAACTGTGTCATACCTTAAGTGTTAAAAAAATAAATCTATACTAATAATTTATGAAATAACTCAAAAACTACTGGGCCAATTTCAAAAATTCTTTCACGATAATTTAACTGTGTGAAACATAGGCTATTTTAGTTTTGTTTTTAATTTCACGCGGACGAAGTCGCGAGCAACAGCTAGTAAGTAATAAATACCTCATCAGCGAAGGATATCTCAGTAGGGTCTAATAGGAACGTGGGCGGTGGTATGGGCCCCGCGGCGCGCAGTGTGCGGTGCAGCGGCATGTAGTTATTTCCCATCAGGGCTTCTAGCAGCTCCTTCATTGCTATGCGGTTAGGTGGACTCCTGGAAATACGACTTATAAACTATTTTAACTCACAAACTACTTTACGATTGCATTCGATTGTTATTTTAAATGTAGTAACGCAAAAATTACTAGAGTTCAATTAATAAAATAGAAATAGGTTTGTAGACTACTATACCTATTGAATCTAGATTCCTAAAAATAGTAAATTCTACATTTAGTACTTAACTATTTTCAATAACTATAACAATCCAATTTAAGAATAATGTGAACAGAATTTCAGATCTTGGTTTTTTTAATCTAATTTCATATGTAAACAATAGAATGTGCAATACAAACCCATCACCAAGTGGTATGAGTGCTGAGACAGTTGCCTTAGCCAATGAGCTGGTCTCCGTCACTCTCTCACCTAGTATCGACTGCAATGATGAATAGTCAAATTCCAAATCTTTTGATACAACTTCCGTTAACATAACTTGCTTTGCTGTTTTCTTAAATACCTGAAACGATAATATGCAGAAGTCAATACAAATGTAAAACCATAAGTCAGCATAAAACATAAACTTAGCACTTCAGATTGTTGACAAATCTTTGTAAGCTGGACTTTTATACACGATCATGGGGCACTGGCAGTGCACATATGCGCATAGCCGGCTTTGGGTCCCCTAGATTGTTTTAATTTTAATTTCTCCTTTTTCTTTATGTGTGTGTGTAATGTAATATAATATGTAATTCTTCTGTCAATGTAAATATCATATGTGTAATATTCTGTTACATGAGTTAAATAAATTATTATTATTATTATACAAGATAGCAAAGATCTACAAATTTTTAAACATAATGCATTGTTTACTTACATCTTTTATATTTACAGGCAGATATCCAAAGAGTTGTCCAATAAACAGTCTCTCTTGAGGCGCCAATGGCAATAAACCTGGCTTGCCTTCTAAAAGGTGCAGGAATAATGAACTGAACGGATTCTCTTGCTTGTATGTGTCAAAGATGATTGCCAGGGCCACCACGCGCTGACCGGGGAGGGACAAGTCCCCTCCCGTGATCAGTGATGACAGGAGAAGACACACTATGTAGAGAAAATGTTATATTATAATTTTGCTTAATATTATTTTGTCGAATGAAATCTCTCTAAATTTAACTTCAATGATCAAATTCATGTAAGTGTGCAGATAATACATGATTTGAGTTTTTATAAAAGGTAAACACAAACTAGCAAAGTTTTAAAATAAACCATGAATAATTACTGACAGTTGAAATGTTCGGTTTTAGGAAACCTCTTCTGGACCTGCGTGGAGAGGATGTCTAGTGCTTGTGAGTCAATCGTCTGTTCAGAAAATAAACTGTAAATAAAAATGCTTTGTTTAAATGAAAACTCTTCTTTGTAGACTATGGGCAAATTAACACACAACGTACTCTAAAATATATTTGCTTTGTTCGTTTATCATTTGTTGTGACATTTTGCAAATCATCAAACAAAAAGTCCTTTACAATAATGTTTTGTTTTGAATTAAGGTAAAAGATTTATAGGTTGCATTTGGTTACATCTCCAGCTGAGATTACATGTGTCAAAGCGAAATGTCAACGACCGTCAACGTCATTGTCAAAACTGTGCAATCAAAGATTATCGAAATAACAGAATTTCGAAGTTTGCATTTAAATGTTAAAAGTGAAAACACTAAACATTTTATTTCATAATAATCAAAACACTCAATAATAACATTTAAAAACATTAAATTGACAAAAAGTAAACGATAATTTTATACGACATCATTTATTTGTAAACACTTAAATTCGTTTTTAAATTATAAGTTTGAACTAAAATAAAGTAACAAAGTAAAAACAGAACGAAAGTAAACTTTGACCTCGGATAAAGTCACGACTCTGACGTTGCTTACCCAACCCCATCACACCATTAATAGGTATTGTTGGATATTAACTACCACACAAAGAGTTAATTGGTTCCTAAAGAAATCACTTAGCGCAGACTTCTCATATTACACTAGGGGAACCATTAATCGACTTTGAGTGGGAGAGTCAGATGAAGAAGATAACAGATTTATAATGAAAAAAAACATACGGACGACTTGAGTACCTCCTTCTTTTGGGAAGTTTTTTTTTATAAAATAAGGCAAACGAGCAAGTGGCCACCTGAATCCGCCAAAATGGCGAAGCGACCGCTGCCCATAGACATCCGCAATTGCAGATGCGTTGCCTACCCTTACCGACGGAGGAGGAGACGCACATAAAGAGGATATTTCCCCTTCCTATGCATCACCTCTACCGTCAAATCCACTTCCCGTTCCCATCCTCTCCTTGTAAGAAAAGAATGGTAAAGAGAAAGGGACTTAAATAAGGCCTCCGGCACCACACTCATCATACGAAACACGGAATACCTTCCATTTTATGCCTCTCTTCTGTGTGGTCGTGGTATTACACCGGGCGTGCCGGCCCATTCATGCTAAGATGTTAAAGCGGACACTACCACTTTAAAGTCGGTCAAAAATTGAAAAAGAAAATAAAGTTGAGCGTTGTATATTTTAAAACTCTATGTTTACGACATACTATAGGCCAGCGATTCTCAACCTTTTTTTGCTGCGGCACATATTTAACGATTTCAAAATTTGGCGGCACACAAAGAAAAAGATAAAAATTATTTACTTACTACAACACACTGCATAAATTGTTTATGTCAAAAATATGCAAAATTTGGCGGCACACAAAAGTGCCGCGGCACAGTGGTTGAGAATCACTGCTATAGGCTATTAAACATCAGATCAGGCTATGGATTAAAAGTTATAATATTTCCAAAATGGAGTACAATACCTAGTGTATACCAGTGATTCATTCCTTGTCATTTATTCATACCTTGGTTATAATTTATATACAATCTTATCTATATAGTTCAAAGTTCACTATTTATTTTCGATGTTTTTATCATGTTTTTAATTAGAAAGGTAATTCTCTATTCAGTAGATAGTTTAACCAAACCTTACACACTACTGTTAACTTTAAAACACATTTGCATTTAATAAAGAATAATGTTGACAAACTGATGCCGTTATCAAAAAAAAAATTAGATAAAAATACAAAGCGGACAAACTTTACTCGACTAGGCCGTAGTACCCAGTTATCATCTTAGCGTTAATTATTACTGTTCGCTCTTTATCGTGCTCATTTCTCGCAGCGATAAGATTAGACCAGTCATATGGCGCACTGCAGCGCCACTTTTGTTAAGAAATCGTTTTTTATACTTTCGCTTGCCAATTGGATATCAAAGTAAATACTATTTCATGCGGAAAAGAAGGAAAGTGATGTTGAAAATAAGTGTTGTGGTGTTTCGATGTGAGAGACTATCGTTCAACAACAGTCATGCATAACGTTAGACCGTTGGAGTTAATTTCAAGGATTAGTGAGCCACATCGAAGTCGGTCATCCTCTTGGTCATCATGGAGACGAAACAATGACCTACAGAGATCGGAACCTCGATTCTCTTTACAATATCAGGTACTCAAATATGTTCCCGCACTTTTAAATTCTGAGATTCTTAGATATTTTTTGCTTATCTGGGTTACTCATGTGAAGAATGCAAAATGCATCCGATATCAGTTAAGTTAAATTTGTCACAATTTGGAAGACGCAATACATTTGTTAGCCTAACATTGATGTTTAATTTAAAATCATAAATACAAAAATAGAAAACATAAAGGCTAAAAGTTTGTCTTTCGTCAATAAGAGACTTTGGCAATGATCTATTAGCAAGTATTTCCTTAGTACATGTTTACTTTTCAATTTAAATGAAGTTTTCTGTTGTTGTATAACTACTTTACTATTTTTCTTGGTTTTGTCCAGTTTTGTCCGTAATTAGATCATCCTCCAGTATTCAATAAAAAGTTTTTGGGCAAGGTAAAATAGTTTCATGCCACACCTGTTGGATTATTTATCGTATAAATGCTAAGAATAGGATTATTGTGATTTTTAAGTGACCTTAAAAGAAATCCATTAAATGGAAACATTTCTTTTAAAATTGATTATTTTTTCAAAACATCTTCAATAACTTACGTAGAAAGGAATACAATGCGTAAAAATTGACAAAGACTGTCAAAGCTGTCACTTGATTTGTCATTCAAGGCGCAGTGGATAGTTTTAGCGATATTTTATTTTTTTATTTACATGTATCCGTGATTATAAAATTTCGCATGAATCTGGTATTTAGGCTTTCCGTTAAAGCCTATAATAGGTGTGAATTTCTGATGTCCTTAAAGTGCAGAACAAGTTTGTTGGTGTTGCAGAAGAGTGTTGGATAGCTAACGTGTCATAACTTTTAAGTTATTCCGACCGATGTAACACTAAAAAGTGTTAACTTGTTTACAATTCAGTTTATAAATTAGTTTGTTTTCACATGGGTGATGGCTTGGCAGTCGGATACACGTGTAAGTGTTGAACAATATACTTTTAATAAAACGGAAGAGACATAACTTATTGTAATTCATTCCTATGCAAATATGTCCTTGTGATTGATTTAATATTTAAACGAATACTTTTGAGATGAGGTTCTTGTAGGTGCTCGTGTGTTGTGTTAAGTTGTAAATATGTTGCAAAGTTGTTTTGTTTATTTTTGTACAATACAATTGTAGATGTCATTAGTCGGCGTAGTTTCATTGTTGTGATGGTTTTACTCATATTATAATTAGTATCTGTTAAACATAAAGTAGTTATTTATGTTAAAAGTTGTTTGTTTTTGTTAAATATTATAGTTTTTTTAATATGCCTCCAGAAACATTTTAATTATTAAGGTCAGTTCTTATTAGAATTTACTTGCCATTAAATGTAATGATAGAGATAAACAAAAACATTTTTTATCTTTATGGTACCAATATAATTTATTAGTAATTTTTACTTTGTCACAATTGAATGTTAATAGAGGCATTATTGAAATGATAACACAATCAGTATCACTTCTTTATAAAAATTGTCTGTATATGCTTGATACAAAAGTATGGTCGTAAAATCTCAGAAATCCATACACATAATGAGTGTTCCCATTGGAAAATAGAGTACCTATTATTATGTCTGAATGTAATATTTTAAAGAGGAATGATTTCATTGTTTATTTGCTTCAAAACTATGTAATTGTATGTAAAAATCTTTTTCCAGTAGAATGTTATATTACAGTTTGACATTGGCTATTTTAAATATGAACAGAAAGGGTATGGTTATGACTGGAAAGCTATGAGACATATCCTTTCCATCCAAGGAAGATGGAGTAGATAGCAAGTCATCATAATAAAATTATTCTTATAATTTTTGTTGTTGTCTGTTTGTGATCTCATAAGTGACTTTAAAAAATAAGATTCTATTCACATATAATCTTATTTTTAGGATGTAAATGTTATTAGCATTAAGTAGATTCAAAGAATCAGCTCAGTATATGCTGCTCTTTTATTCATATTTGAATACACCCCCTTTCTAAGCGTATACTCTTTCACACAATCCATCCATACTTTCCCCTGTCTTCCTCTACATTGTATACATTTACATTCAATCCTCATCATCATCATCCACTTGCCCTTATCCCTTACGGAGGGTCGGCACAGTATGTGCTGCTCTTCCATCATACATCTCTATCAGCTGATCTGTATCTGAGTCCACTCCTTTCTTAAGCATATCCTCTTTCACACAATCCATCCATAATTTCTTTGGTCTTCCTCTTCCTTTGTAGCCATCCACATTCAATCTTAACACTTTTGGGTTTAAGTCCTCATCTTTTTGTCGCATTTACATTCAATCCTATGCAATAATATTAAGGAGAAGATTATTTACTAAATGTGCCAGTGACCTTGAACCATTTTATAATCTGTTAAGTAAGCCTTGAAAGGAGATGTATAGTTACATTCATAAGCGTTGCTAGCCAATGATTTAAGTAGGTCTAGAGGCAGGGGGCAAGTACAGTTTATTTTGAAGGAGTTTTCATATTTAATACTCTTTGGTACATATGGTTGCATTGGACAGTATGTTCAGATTTGAAAGTAATTACTAGAAATGCCTAAAGTAGTGTAATCTAAAAAATATGGATTATGTTCTGTTCAATAAAAGCTAGCAGCTTTGATGATTGTCTCTAATTATTTTTTACCAACAATAGCAGAAACAAGTAAACTTGGAACTTTGATCATTATATTCTCTCTCTCTATTTCTAGTAAAGCAAAATATTCAATATAATTTTCTTTGCAGACGGACGAGAACAGTTTTCTTCTTCGTCTGAAGATAATTGGGGCTTTCTCTTTGGCAAAGAAGGACATCTTTGGAGCTAGGTAAGACACCAACACCACTGTTAGTACTCTAGGATTCTTAGCTGCATTTTTCAATATGGCTACTCTTCTAGAACTACTGTCTTGTCAACTGAAGATCATTCTTGAATGCTTAGTTCTAGATTTTTTTAAAACATGACTATTTTCAGATGTTATTGTAGTAAGAGGTTTGTTTACTTCAATCCTTTGTTTATCCTGTACACATAAATCACAATGTCATCTGAGCTGCCCACTCTAATGTTATCAATGCTTCATGACTTGGCTTTGTTTTATAAAATATTTTATCATTCTATGAATGATAATCATTATGATGGCTCCTATGTAAACTATTGTATGTTTGAAACGCTAATTTTCCATCACAAACTTTAACTATTAATACGATTATTGCACATCAAACAGGAAAATACGATAGACAACTGTCTAATGTTATAGTTAAAAAAATTAGAATCAAGTATTTAACAAGTTGATTTAAAAAATAGTAATAATACGAGTATAAGAGGTTAATTTCAAAATTTTGCCTTACGATAGTCTACGTAGAAGCCGACGACACGGGCTGTATGGGTTCACTGGTGCCAGTTATACATTATGCCACTATTTAGAGCGGGTGTCTAAGCTAGAGTGGTTACCTGTGTGCAGTCCCAGGCTACAAACTTAGCTTGTTTCATATATTTAGAAATATACTGTTTCTGCTCTTTTTTGAAGAACGGCGCTCATTAGGGCATCCACTTAATGTGGCTCTTAAAAGCGAACTGGTAGTATTTCCAAACCACTGGCCTAGGTTTTTGAGCCAGGCTAATCTTCTTCGACCTACACTTCGCTTTCTGTGAATTCAGCCTTGTACGTTGAGCTGTAGTAGTTCGCAGTAGTACTGTGCAGTAGCAATACACATATTAGTAATTTTAAATTATAATGGAAGGTTATTGGGCGATTAAAAGCAATCGATAAGAAGAGTGAGATCATCGGTAGCAGTTACCTGTTTCTATACGCGACAGCCGAGAATCAATCACGTAATTTGTATTATTATTTGTAGTTCAATTAATGTCATAACGGTATGCAACATTGAGAGTCATTAGTTGATCTCTAAGTGTTCATTAAGTAACGAGAAAACTACACTGGATGGCTCCGATCAAACCGAGCGCATCAGAAATATATTCAAATAGAAATAGTAGGCCTAAAAGTTGACAATAGAATATTCAGAATCAAAAATAGTACTATTAGTCAAGATGGAGACTTGGTGCCCAGCATTTTCGTTTCACGGGCCCCTTACCACTGGTCTTAGGAACCATAAGCATATTATCAAAACGTCAAACTACCCGTTTATTTATAGTAAGGATTACTAGAGTTCAGATATGTAAAACAATACGTTAACTTGTCTAACACTGATCATGTATTTCGGATCTTAACTTTGTTGTATGTACCGGGAGATATAAGCGGTCGTGACAACGTTAAGTGTTGAATATTGACTTGAGATCGCGGGATATCCCCTTCTGAAGTAACACAATGTACTCGTATTTGTACCTTTGAGATTTTTTCTGTTTCAAGATGACAGTCTATGCTCTTTCCGTAGCTGTGAACTCTAATACTGATGAATATTGAAGAAATAAATATATATATTCATTTATTTTTCTGTGAATTTATAGTAGCGTGCAAATAAATCCATTTTAATCCGTCAACTTACATGCTCGATCTAATTTCATGACATGTGCGATTTATACATAACGATCGTATCAATAAATCTATTAACACTCGGATGTGGGTCATTACCAATAAAGAGGACTTATTCCAATGAAGGGCAGACAGCCAGCGCGGGCGTAACCGCCCATATCCTAAGACGCGGTTGGTCTACAGCCCAGGGCGCTTCACAGAAAGTGTACTAGTAGTTGTAGAACCGATATTGTGGATGCCAAGAGCTTATACAGATTTTAAACCCCCAATTTTTTGATTTCATATAACGAATTGGGCTACATTTTGTTAATATATTTCTATATAGTATTGATTGTATGCAAAAGCAATGAAATAATAATGAATAAATAATCGGAAATATCCTCAACATTTTATTATACGACCTTTATTCATTTGACATTCAAGGAAATCGTTTCCCATTGTGCGTAGTCGAGAATATTTCTTCAAATAATAATTTATACGCGTGTGATATTAACGAAAATAGCGTAATCAGATTTTTAATATATTTTACCCTCACGAATGTATGATTTTGATTAAAGAGTAAATTTGTACGGCACCGATTTCTTATCGAATAGTTGATAATAATCGGTCATTAACATAAAATAATGGGAGCGCTGAACCTGTCGCTTGTTACTGTAAGTTAATGATTTTTACATAAAAGAAAGAAATACAGGTACAAAAAGAATTGTTATACACTAATAGGTATTTAAAAAGTAATATCCCGTGCGAAGTCGGAGCAGTCGCTAGTACGTGAGTTATAATATTTATTTGTTTGCAGTGACCCGTACGTCCGCGTGGAGTTGCAGAAGATAGACGGTGACGTCACTGTTGAGACCTTCCTCACAAAGACCAAGAAAAAGGTGACGCACAAACATAGTTATATTCAATGAAGCTGACAATTTATTAGCCATTGGTTGATATTCGACAATGTTAATAATCACGTGTAGGTTTCCATTGCCGAATCATTTATACATCTATACTAATATGATAAAGAGGAAAGATTTGTATTTTCGTATGTATTGAAATAACTCAAGAACTACTTTACCGATTTTAAAAATTCGTTCACCGTTAGAAAGGTAATTTATCTGTGAGTACAGGCTACACTTTTTAATTTCACGCGGGCGAAGTCGCGAGCAGCAACTAGTCAAATATATTTTTTCAACAGTTTTTGTTGAATGTTTGTCTTTGAAATTATACGGTTATAGTAGAGACCACTAACCAATCCCACTTTATATTTTTTTAGCTTTTTTTTTCACGTAATATTGCTTACAATTGCTCATAGTAATTTATAGGCAATGTGTCCTCAAGGACTTTGATAGAATGTCAATGTAATTTGTCTCATAATTTATTTATGCGTTAACAAAGGTGTAATATTTTTACAGACCTTGAACCCGGTATGGAATCAAGAGTTTATATTCAGGGTAAGTTTTTTCTATCCTTATAGTCTAAACTATGATATTTGTTAAGAAAATTTGTGATATCCAATCATACTAATATTGTAAATGCAAAAGTTTCGATGGATGTTTGTTAGAGTTTGTAGCCTAAACGGTTGAACGGATCACAATGAAATTCGGCACAGATATAGAGCATAGTCTGGAGGAACACATAGGCTACTTTTTATCCCGGAAGTAATTATGGTTCCCGTGGGATGCATTAATTTTGTTCGTTAATGTTAATGTTTCACATGGGATAAGGTTCATCCCGGTAAAATGTCCGGTTCCCAAGGTTTTTTAAAACCATGCGGACGAAGTCGCGGGCAACAGCTAGTTGGATAATAAGTTTTATTTTAAAATAAAATTTTTGTGAAATGTCAAAGTAGATTAATCGGAAATAATAGATTATTGAAAGTAAGAAATTGTTCTTAGGAACAAGATTTTGAATGGAACTCAAGTCTTGGTAAAAAAGCTAGTAATTTCGTTGCTTTAACAAAATGTTTCTTAAAGAATGGAGAAAATGGACACGTTAATTAACGATCAGAGTTAGTTGGCATAAACAAAAGGTACAGATAGTACAGATTAAAAAAAATAGATTATAGAATCATTTTGCACAGATCATAAAAATATATCGGCGAGGCGCGAAAAGAAAGTAAGGGAGTGAATTCAGATATGACAGTTGATAATAAAAAAAATATACAGACGAATTGAGTACCTCCTTCTTTTGCGAAGTCGGTCAAAATTAAGTCTGCTAACATTCCTTAGAAAAAGGTAGATTTATAATGTACGGGCACGATCGTAAGGCAAGGGCATATACAAAAGATGAACGAGCTAAAACAATATGCTATTCTACTGAATAGCTTTATCTTTACAATTTTGATATTTTGAAAGAAATCTGCTATTGAAATCTACGATTTTTGATCTTATCAAGGATTCGACCTTGTTTTGTGCACTGAAACTATTTATGGATGAATGTCTCTTTCTTAGTCCTTATGCGTGATTATTCGTATTTTTTGTAAATTACTATGTGACTCACGAATAAGTCAATCGCCTGATGTGAATATCCTCGTCTTTAGTTCAATGGTATAAAAAAATCACTAACACATTAATGTCTTCGATAATGTAAACGATGTTCTTGTAATTACATTTCGGTTGATTTTCCTACTATACACTATGCTATAGATTACAAGCACTATGTTATTCTTTCCACCAAGTCCAGTTGTGGTAAGCATCAATTACCGGTTTTCGGAATTCCATACCGAGATTTCTTCGTATGAAACTGAACGTTTTGAACGATAGATTATTATCGATTGCCGATTCCCTTCTCACTACAACCGATAGTGCCCCGGACTCGTCTGCTCGGCGTCAACACGTGACGTCATAGGGCAATCGGCAAAGCTTCTGCGCACGAGTTGATGTATCACGTGGTATGTGTACTATGTCTCGATAGCGGTACTGTATAACGGTAGATAGTTCATCCGTTGACTCTGACGTAGGATTGTCGATAATATGTACCAATTTCACTCTTTCAGATTATCTTCTCGTTTTTCTACTTAAATTATATACATGGTGTCCGGGAAAGACGTGTGCAATGAACTACCACAGATTCCTTGGTCAAATTGTCATATTTTCGACCAAGGAATCGGTGGTAGTCGTAGTATACGTCTTGTTCGACACCGTGTATATCTTAAGGGTGGCTGCGAACGACAGTTTGTTCCCGTGCTATGTAATTTAAGACGAATGAACACACATTCTCAAATTTCGTGATTACCAGCTGCCAGTAATGATAAAAAATCTATATTGAGGATTATTTTGTTACATTTGTGTATTTTACGTAGTTTATTATATCTATACTTCTATACTATTATAATAAAGCGTAAACACACACTTCTTTGTTGCCTAGATGTCAGCAATCACAGCATGTTTTTGAATAATTCTTTTTTTAAACAATACCTCTACACTTACGTCACGCTTTAGGCTATATATTTTAACGCTATTCAACTTAGGGGGTAAATAAATTGGATAAAAACACTAATGTGGGAAAGAGACCATAAGCTGCTGCCAAGATCAAGGAAGCAAGACTGCCATAGTAAGGTAATTGGTATTTTGACATTTGCATTTGAGAATTTGACAAATGTAAACAATAAAATAAAGTTTTTATAGTTAAATTCATGCGGATGAAGCCGCACGGGAACAGCAAGTCTAAAATATTTTTTGTCGATAACGCTTGTTGTACATAGTTTTTTTTTGCATTTCTTGTTATCAATTATGTTTGTTGTAACCAAGCTGCATTTTCTAGTGTGACTAAGCTAGTTTTAGGTTCGTGCTTGATTGGTCTTTGGAATTGATCCAAAACACTTTCTTTGTAGAAGACGATATGTTCGATACATTTAATTTTTTTTATTGTTAAAGTCTGTATTTGTCTGTAAGGAGTTTGAGTTTTAATTGCTCGGTAATAATGTTCTCGTTTCTTTATTTGCGGCATTTAATAAAATTCATTACTTTTTGTCTGTTTTGCACTTTATAGTGTTTTTGGTCCACTTTATTTTTATAAACTCTTTTATCTATCAATAACTTACACTTCGTTGGCGATGATTCAACAGCGGCTTAATAATTATTCTCATTTACTATAAAAAAAACAGTTCGCTGTCTCCTTGGAGAAACTGTTAGGGCTTCCATAGACTCTAATAAACTTGCTCGAATAGAGGCAATAAGGATGACATTTATTTACGTTGACATTGGCTTATTATATTTACTTACACTCGATAAAACTTGGATCATTTTTAGATAAATTAGATTTACCTTTGTATAGATATACTCTAAAAATAACGAATACTAGGAATGGCAATCTCGGTTACGTAATAAAATAGTCAACACTATACATTTTCTTAATATTTATAGTCTGTACCCTTGATATGTGTACCTATTACTGACTACTAGATTTTAAGATATCTCAGAAGAGTTTCCGGGACTCCTAGGCCCTTGTATATTAAAGAAATCATGGTAACTATAATTTATCTTAGTCGAAATGAATTCCAGGTGAAACCACAAGAGCAGAAGTTACTCATCCAAGTGTTCGATGAGAACAGGCTAACGCGGGATGACTTCCTCGGCATGGTGGAAATCCCGCTGGCGGGCGCGCCCACGGAGTCCGCCGCGGCGCCGCGCCCACCGCCCGCTAAGTACCCCCTACGTCCGCGCAGGTCTGTGTAAGTAGCGCCTTCAGCATGCAGTGCCTTTTGTTTCTTTATTTACTGCCCTTATTAGAGCTTCTAGATATCGAAAGATGGATTCGCTCAAGAATTGATGTGTTTATAGTAACATTGGTGTTAATATAAGTGGGTCTTTTTGTCAGCCCGTAATCTGAGATTACGAATAACAAGCTAACTTTGGCATCTCTGATTGGGTGTCTATACGAAACTTCGAATTAACAAGTTTGTTTCTAAAGTTTAGATAGTGTTCAGTAAAAAATTACATCCTTTTCACTCATAAATAATGCATAATTCTGCCTAAAGGAAATAGCATATGGATATAAATAGAGTGACTGTATTGAGTTTACACCATATCATTTTGAAGACGAGGCATTCCGTAAGTAACAGTAGCATGTGTTCGCAGTTTGTGTGTCTGTGTGCACGTGTAGATGGAAATATACGTCGCATAAAAATTATTTTCTTATTCCTCACTTTTCGATGTTTTAATTTTTAATTGATGATAAAAATGCCAATATATCTATAGTGATGTATCTGTGCTTGTATTACTCCGGTCGATTGCGTGTGACGCTTTCTTTCCATCACTTTTAAGTTCGCTCTGTGAGATCTGTATGCACTTGTAGAATATATGTTTAGATTGAATGTACATATATGTGAAAATAAAAGATTTATATATTCTGGGCATGGAAACGATCCTTGAGGTACACCTGATCCTTTTTTGGTTTTGAAACTTTTCTATAACATTTTATTAATATTTTTACAAAGTGACTATCATTATTATTAGCGTATATCAATTTCTCATGGATTACCTTTCTTTAATATCACTTTCAATCAAATAATGTCAACTCGATAGTGTCAAACGCTATGTAAATTTCATCGTTCACTTTATATTGGGTTAATTTTTGTTAGTTATGTATTTTGACATAGAAGTTGTTGTGTGTAGTGCGAGGTCGCGGGTGCGCGGGCACATTGAGGTGTACGCGGCGCTGGTGGGGCGCGTGGGCGAGGCGGAGGAGGGCGAGGCGAGCCCTGCGCCCGCTGACGGCTGGGAGATGGTGGAGCCCGAGACGCAGACCGGCACTGTGCAACCGGTGAGTAGTTACTCTTACTCTAGGTTTACACTGTTTAAATTGTATGTGAACATATTCGTCTCATTAAAGTAGATTTTCATGGTCTGTATTTGGTTATATGTTTTGAATAAGTGGACTAAATTAGTTTAGAGTTGTTAAATGTAGAAAAGAAGCTTTATTGTATTAGTGGTAAAGGTGAATTTTGCACTGTTAGGTTGGCACGACCATTCAAACGGTACCGTCGTTTACCGGTGACGATGATTGGGAGTTGGTGGAGTCTGCTTACTTGAACCATTTAGTAGGTGTTGTTTTTAATTTTGCTTTTAATTTTTATTTCCATGGCTTTCTATTTATATTTCGCATGAATAAGTGCTTATAAAAAGTGTACATTTTGGTTAACTTAGTATCTAGGTAAATGTAATTTTTGGACCTAAAAAGATCTAAAGACGAAAAGGAACCTTATCAATAAATATCAAATAAGTTGCTAATGGTAAGTAAATGTATAGAAGTAGTTGTAACAACTTTTCTATTCCAATAAAAAGATATGATTTTCTCTTCTTGACATATATTATTCATTATGGTGTGGCCAACAAAGAGATTTACATCGTATGCCTAGCTTAAAACACCTTAAATCTAAATCCTAGGTGATAGGGCTAAATGTTTTTAATGCCTAACATTATAAGTCTAACGTAACGTTACATTGTCACTTTGACGACAGGTAATAAGGTAGGTGTTTCATTGTTGCAGACGATCGGCGGCGACCCGCTGCCGCCGGGCTGGGAGGAGCGCCAGGACGCGAACGGACGCACCTACTACGTGAACCACGTGGCACGGTCCACGCAGTGGGAGCGGCCAACGTTCACGTAAGTTATCTACTTACTGTATGAAGGTGTAAATTAAAATAATAATATGTAGCCTATGTTACTTACTGATATAGTAGCTTTTTAATGGTGACAGAATTTTTGAAATCGACCCAGTAGTTTTTAAGTTATTTCAATATATACAAAAATGTAAATCTTTCCTCTTTATCATATTAGTATAGATTTATTTCTTACTTCGTTCTTAATATTATAAATGCGAAAGTTAGTTGGATGGATGGATGTTTCTTACTATTTATCTCCGAAACGCCATAATAGATTTTGATTAAATTGACATAGATGTAGAACAGAATTTACAATAATACATACGCTACTTACTAAATTAATTTTTAATTCCGAGCGGACGAAGCTGAGGGCAAAAGCTAGTGTAGTATAGAACGCACAACAAAGATAGGTTGATGATGATGGTCATAATAAAAGCCACCATGATGATAGCCACTATGATGATGATCACTATGATGATGATCACTATGATGATGATCACTATGATGATGATCACTATGATGATAGTCACGATCATGATAGTCACTATGTTGATTATCATAATTGTTTGTAATTTCGCAGTCGGAATATAAGTACGGAAACCCAAGCGGAGCGCATGGAGACAGCGGCCACTGAGTTCCAGAGGCGGTTCCACATCTCCGCTGACGACGAGCACAGCGCCGGCCCGCAGAGCGCCAACCACCAGGTATACCTTATCTTAATGGCTTAAGATCTATTTTACTTACTAAATTGCTTAAGGAAAATTGTGATGTATTGTTATCCATCCTGCTTTAAAAATGTTAGCTTTTTTAGAGAATTTAATTTTACAAAACCCCCAATTAATCGCAATATATGCATGTGTAGTTTGAGATTGTCTTGTTAATAGAAAATGATAGAAGAAATACTATTGTTATGTTTTGGTAGTTTTAAATTTAAAAAACTAAATTATTATTGATATAAGGGCTTTATTTATATCTGAATATGTTTTTACAAAAGTGAAAATCTATTCTAAATAAAGTTCTTAAAAACGCATGTTATTATACATTGAATTCGAGGAGAGATAATATTAATAGCCTTTGCCACTCGACTAGTGACAAGTGACTGATTTATCTGTCACTTGTCACCTGCTTAAGGGTCAAAAGACTGTTGTAAAGTAAATCTTAATAGGATATTCGAATGGTTTTAAAATACGCCATTTTCTACGAAATCAATGTTTTTGTGTCGATGTTACTGGCTTATTTTTGTTGTCTGTTTCTTGAGCATAAATATGTCAAATTGGTTATTTTGCATGGATATGTATGACAAATATAGGATTTATTCATTTTATATGGTATTGCATGCGATATAGTTCATATACCTATCACGAATATTCGTGAGAACGAATTCGTAACGTCATCGACAAGATTTGTATGAGATTTGTGTAATTTACTCCCGGTAGAGGCGCTGCACAAATCTAATACAGATTTTGAAGACGTGACGTAAACGATCTCACCAATGTTGGTAATAAGCTCTCTATTTGAATATTAGGTGTTGCTCATAGTAAAGTAAAATGTGACTTCATGGTAAATTTTACTGATGATATTCACGTTCTTTAAGCGTAAAGATTACTTTGTTAAAATAGTATTTTTCGAACAATAACTTTCTTTTATTATCCTAGTTAATATTCCATTTAGATTGATATAGTGAAATCGAGAAGGATATCGTCGGAATCGGGTTGGTCAGCCAAGATGTTTGAATATAAAAAAAAACCGCAAATCTCGCCTTTGTCTATACTAATATTATAAAGAGAAAAGTTTTCTATTTTTTTTTATTTTTGTATATATTGAAATAACTCAAAACCTACTGGGGCGATTTTAAAAATTCATTTACCGTTAGATAGGTAATTTATCTGTGAGTAACATAGACTATATTTCTTAATTCACGCGAACGGAGTCGTGAGCAACAGCTAGTTATGCATATTACAGGCACATTTATTTAATAAATTTTGTTAACATCAGTCAAATTTACTTGACTTGCACTTTCAGCCTTATTTTCATTGGTTTTTCGCAGCATGGGCTTTTGCAGATTGAGGGAAAACTAATTTCATTACACGAAGTTTTTATATCGCAAGGTATATGCAATAACCCATACATTACAGTCAAGTTTGCACTAACAGATGAACTTTTACATCGGCAGCGATGTTTCTTTTTTATCTATATTTGTCTATGGCTGTTCTACCATGTTGCCGGTGTATCATTGTACCCATAGACAATTTTGCGGCCCAAAATGTATCAAAGTATGAGAATTTATTATCTGTCATAATTTTCAGGAATTATAAAAAGAGAATAATATCCAAATTATTTATTTTGTAATTAAAAAGTATTATGACAATCAAATTCTTATAGTTTAGAATAAATTCACGCATTTGTTTCATTTTGGTTTCTCAGTTATAATTAAAATTACCTTTATTTTGGGGCTGTGAAGAGCGTTTTGTCGGTCGTTTGTGCAATCATTGCAATGTACAGGAGGATATGAACGATACTCGAGCGGATAGTACTTCGGCTGAAGTGACGCCGTTGCCTTCACCGGTGAGATCACCAGAACCGGCGCCTACATCGCCTACCGCGCCTACCGCGCCTACAGAACCTACAGAGTCTAATGTTCCTACAGAAACATCTAATATAAGCAACGACTGTGATACTAATGTAAGAAATGACAATGATGAAGCAACGAGCTTAATCGCAGATGTAGAAATAGAAACAGAACCAACAGAAGGGAATGTAGAAACTGTTGAAATTATAGAAACGGAGGTTATTATAAAGGGAGATGGCCAAGAAACAATCGATAATGAAATCGCTAGTACTAGTCAAGTTGTAGATAATGTCACTGAAGACAATGAATCAAATAATGAAAATGAATTAGTAAGACAACAAAGTGATGATGTGCTGTCCCAAGGCACGGCGGAGACTAATGCAAGTGAGGAAGAAAATAATGAAGTGAGAGTTAATGGTGATGAGATACCAGGTGATGATGATGAAGTGGAATTGATAGAGATAGTAGCGGAATCGTTGACGTTCGATGAGAACCATTTTAGTACTCCGACGGGAGGCAGTCCGGAGGGCCGGTCGCCGACCTCCCGCCGGCGGAGGACTACGGCCAGCTCTATGGATGACTCGGAGGTAAGAACGTTTTGGGGCGTGACGTGTTGTATTGTGTACAAAGTTTATAGTTCATGACACATGATATCGATTGACGCTTGGAAAACATTCAGCATTACACACATCTCTGATAGTTTGCAAGTTTTAGATCAGGTCCATTTACATTGTGTTGTGAAAAAGGCTAGCGTGTCATTTCTTTATACTCAAAAGCCAAGAAAACAGTGAAAGCTATTGACATCTCTATTTTCGAGTTAGAGTTAAAAATGTCAAATGTGAAAGTTTAGATGGATGGATGGATGTTTGTTAGCATTTGTAGCCTGAACGGATTTCGATGAAATTTAGTATAGATATAGAGGATAGTCTGAAAGAACACATGGGGTACTCGATTTTGTTTCTTTTTTTAATTCCACGCAGACGGAGTTGCGGGAGAAAGCTAGTTCTTTATAATAATAAAGATTTAATTTTTTAAATCTTGGAATTTATTATCTTTATATAGTTTGTTAATTAAATAAACTTTTGAAGAATACATCTAGATTCTAGAATCATTTACGATTTTAATAAGGCGATATATTCGTATTTGGCTGAACACAGATACGCTTTTGAACACGCCATTTTGTAGTTAGTTTGGCCAGATTAATCTATTATAAAATACTGGCTGAGTGAATATTACACGAAAATTGGACGCTTTGCACAATTGTCTATGACAGCGTTTTAAACGACGGTAAAAATAACATGCTACATGCTTTACACTAACAAATTTAAAAGGTTAACTTGAATGTCTCCTTAACATTTAACCAATCAGTGTTTTATTTTTTTTATTATTATTCTGTATGATACGTCAAATTATAAAAATGGGACATAAAAATATGTGTCTGAAGTTAGCAATGTAAGATAAAAACAAAATCTACACTAAATTATACCTTATTCAATAGAAAATAGAATCCATTTTCGCCTAAAACACCTTCATCTTACTCTATGTTTACGTACGTAGTTATTAAAAAAGGTTCTATATATTTTTGTAATAAATACTGAAGCTTGTGCTGTATTGCTTTATTGTGCTTTTTATTACTTGCACGTATATACTGCATGTTTGAATTATTGTAATGTAGTGCATGTGTAGATAATTTATGTATTTAGTGTTATTTAGAGAAAATAATTTAGGGGTTATATTAAAATGTAGAAATATTTTACGTTTTTGTATTATTTTATTACATCCTGTAAATTTTACGGAACATTAACTATCGGTTTACTGTTCTATGACTTATTCCTTAACTAGGAAATACGTAATGATAGAATTTGTACTCTATGGTATATTAAATAAAGCGGAGATTGCAACATGCTATATGTTTTAGGACGAAACAGACGCGTCCACGGAAAGTACGAGAAGCAGCAGTGCCAGCTCTCAGAGTCAAAATCTGCCCAATAGCGATGGTTTGTTTGTTTTATTATTGACAATTACAATAACAATACTATTTAATAATAGTAACGTAAGGATCGAAGAAGGGGAAAATCAGATTTTTGAAATGAAATTGAGCTTTATTAGATTGAAACAAGGTTTAATTTTACATCAACTCTTTATTTATCAAAAAGAGTAAAACACGTGAAAAGTAAAATTGAACCTTATTTCAAACTCATAGAGCTCAATTTTATATGCTATATTTGTTCATTCCGTTCTGTGTCGTTATTATGTTATGTTAATATCGGACATGTATGAGGATGTTATTTTTAAATTCTTTAATACTTCATAGATATTAATTTAGGAATAATTCCAGGGTTGCCGCCCGGCTGGAGTATGCAGCGAGCACCCAACGGCAGGATATTCTTTATTGACCACAATCAAAAAACAACAACTTGGATCGACCCTAGAACAGGTAATAGTTTATGACGTCTTATTTTGTGGCAATTGTATTTTAAGCCACTGCTTACCTCTATAACCGCTAGTGATTATTCGCCATGTAATTTTTTTTCAAATTGTAAACCAAAAATTTAACCTAATTTGAATTTTTATATTATCTTTGTTACCTCTTAACTCCGCTTCTGGTTGGCCAATTTTCATAATTCCCTTATCATTCGAAAGGTAAAATATAGTACATTGTCTTTGGTGTTTTCTATACAAATGTATCCAGTAGTTTTTTAATAAATTGGATATTTATGTGTACGCAGGTTGCGCGTCCAGTCTGCCGGCGGCGGCGGCGGGCAGCAGCGCGGCGGGCAGCAGCGCGGCGGAGACGGACGAGCTGGGCGCGCTGCCCGAGGGCTGGGAGGAGCGCGTGCATACTGACGGCAGGATATTCTTTATTGACCACAGTCAGTATAGTACACTTTAACTGATACTCACAGTTAACACTTAGTTTGAATGTCCCACTCAAATGATACTACGAAATAGAACAAGCGTCAAGTGGAAGTAATTCCGCTGACACTTTGAGTGCGTTTTGTTTATACGTCTTATCGCTCTCACATTTTTCTTATAAATAAAATACTGGAATGTACAGTCAGGGAATTGGTTGGTGTTCCATCTTATCAGCTTTAACCCTTTGAATGTTTTATACGCATGTAAACAATAGGAAGCATCTTTTAGATATATGTTCAAATATCTCATTAAATATGCTTCTTGAGGCTTAATATTTTTCTCTAAATTAAACACCGTGGATTTCTGCTGCTGTACAAGAGAAAATGTATTCATCATTTATTTGGTTAAATTAAAGTAGACAATAATTACTTTTTTCAGTAATAACATGTATAGTTTGTTTGCATTTTTGTCTGTTTGTGTGTATCAGACACGCGCACGACGCAGTGGGAGGACCCGCGGCTGTCCAACCCGCAGATCGCGGGCCCCGCAGTGCCCTACTCGCGCGACTACAAGCGCAAGTACGAGTATCTCAAGAGCCAGCTGCGCAAGGCGGTACGTACACTATGTACACAACACTACGTACACTGCTCTGCGTACACTGTACTACGCACACTACACTACGTACTGTGCACTACGTATATTGCACACTACGTACACTGCACTACGTACACTACACTACGTACACTGCACTACGTACTCAGCACTACGTACACTACACTACGTACTGTGCACTACGTATATTGCACACTACGTATACTACACTACGTACACTGCACTACGTATACTACACTACGTACACTGCACTACGTACACTGCACTACGTATTAGATATCACATTTTATTTTATTTTCTAGTGTACGTAGCCGTGGAAAAAGCTTGTTCATTGTCAATCTTTGTTTTTGTTATTTACTTTAATAATGTGTTGCGGAAAAAATATGGATCTAATAGATAACGCGGTTCTAGCGTTTCTATGCCGGGATTTTTATATTCTTGTTTAAACTATAATAAAAAATTGGATTATTCTATTGGTGCTGTTGTGTTTTATACCTGTTTCAATGTATATTTGTATATTTTAGGGCAATGTACCGAACAAGTTCGAGATCAAGGTGCGTCGTAACTACATCCTGGAGGACTCGTACCGCATCATCAGCTCCGTCAGCCGCCTCGACCTGCTCAAGACCAAGCTCTGGGTGGAGTTCGAGTCTGAAGTCGGCCTCGGTGAGACTCCTGTCCACTAGTGGGAATGCTTCTTAATCCTATGAAATACAGGCTGTTGCTCGCGATTTTTTTAGAATGAAATTAAAAACAAATAGCCTATGTTACTCATTGATAACGTAGCTTTTTAATGGTGCAAGAATTTTCTAAATCGGTCCAGTAGTTTTTGAGTTATTTCAATATATACAAAAATCTAAAAATACAAATCTTTCCTCCTTATAATATTAGTAGATATTGGAAAATGGATAAATGGTATTACTGTCACTACATAATTTCTTTGTGTAGTTTAGTACAAGAAATATAAGGGATTTGTTTAAGTAAATACAAATCTCAGAAAATAGAAAACTTGAAATATTATCTGATTTATTTTACACGCCTTTTTTAACTTTTTTTTTTGATGTCATACTAATATTATGAAGAGGAAAACTTTGTTTCTTTGATTGTAATGAAATAACTCAAAAACTACTGGGCCGATTTAAAAAATTCTTTCACCAGTAAAAAGCTACGTTGTCAGTGAGTAACATAGGCTACGTTTTATATTATATTTTTTTTCATATGGACGGGAGTCGCCGGCGAAAGCTATGTTAAATAAAATTAAACCTTGTTGCAATCGTTTGAAGATCAATTTTATTTGCGATAAAAATCTGTTATTTTTACATTTCTAGTATGAATTCCATTTAAAAATAAAAAAAATGGTTGCTTTATCGACAGTTTAGGCGAAAATTATAATTGAATTGTCTTTTATGCAGATTACGGGGGTCTAGCACGTGAGTGGTTCTTCCTGCTGTCGAAGGAGATGTTCAACCCTTACTACGGGCTGTTCGAGTACTCCGCCATGGACAACTACACGCTGCAGATCAACCCCAACAGCGGCGTCTGCAACGAGGAGCACCTCAACTACTTCAAGTTCATCGGCAGGGTGGCCGGCATGGCCGTCTACCATGGGAAACTGCTCGATGGTGAACATTTAACATATTAAACACTATCATCACCACCAACAACATATCACCACCACTATCACACTACCACTATCATATCACAACCACCATCATATCACCACCACCATCATATTACAACCACCATAATATCACCACCACCATCATATCACCACCACTACCATATTACAACCACCATCATATCACCACCACTACCATATCACAACCACCATCATATCACCACCACTACCATATTACAACCACCATCATATCACCACCACTACCATATCACAACCACCATCATAACACCACCACTATCATATTCCTTATATCTTTTTCTTTTTTAGTATCTATTTTTACTTCTATGTCTACATTTACATACTATTATAATAAAGCGTAATACTACTACTTCGCGGCGTAAGATGTCAACAATCACAGTGTGTTTTTGATATTCTATCTTTAATAAAAAAGCCTTACTCTTGCATTTTTTTTATCATATAGAGGTTATTTTACTGTGATATGATGATGATGCTGATGGTGGTGATGATGATGTTTCAGCATTCTTCATCCGTCCATTCTACAAGATGATGCTGGGCAAGTCCATCACGCTGCAGGACATGGAGTCAGTCGACCTCGAGTATTACAACTCCCTTATGTGGATCAAGGTAAAAAATACATTTAAAATTTATTGATAATCTGTAAATTAAAATTTATTTTAAATTATATTACGAATTCCGACTAATTAAGTTTTACGAATTAGAGAACTAAAGTTTGTTACACAGATCTCTATAAATGGACAGGTTACAAAATATAGACTTAACTGTCAGTAACATCAAAAGTCCCGTTTAAATATGAGCGAAGCAAAAGCTGTCATTTCTAAACAACCGTAATTTCTAAAAAATCTATACAAATTTTATAAAGAAAAATAACTTGTATTTTCGTATGTAGTCAAAGAACTAAAAAACTACTCTGCATATTTCAAAAATTCTTTTACTGAGTGACATGCTATATTTTCAAATTTCACGCAGGCCAAGTCGCGAGCAACAGCTAGTCTATACTTCTATACTAATTTATAGTTAATATTAAAAAAGGAATGATTTGTATTTTCGTATGTATTGAAATAACTCAAAAACTACTGGGACTATTTCTTGCACCATTAAAAAGCTAAGTTATCAAGTTAAAATCTAAGGGAAACACAAAATATTTTAAGTTATAGAGCTTTTATGTTAAAGGGTCTATGTTGTAGAGGTTTTGGGCTCTAATGGGAAGAGAACATATTATTTTTTGAAATTATAGAGGTTTTAAGTTACCGAGGTTTGAGTTATCGAGGTTCTACTGTATTTTTGACCGACTTCCCAAAAGAAGAAGGTATTTAATTCTGTATGTTGTCGTATTGTTGTAGTCTGTATGTTGTTATTTTTTATTAAAATGTATATATGTATGGTTTTAGGAGAACGATCCGTCGGAGCTGTACCTCACGTTCTCAGTGGATGAGGAGCAGCTCGGCAAGACGGTGCAACGCGACCTCAAGCCCGGCGGAGCCAACATACCTGTCGATAACGACAACAAGTTCGAATACATTAAGTGAGTATTGCCCTCTCGCTCTACCACTCGGAGAGTGACAGAGACAGCAATACGCGGAGCACCGTTAAGTCTAACGCATTGACGGTCTCTTACAGAATTTAATGTACAAATATGGCTTTAATGTCAAAAGTTATATATGTGGTGAGGTTTAAATATTTTAATACTACAGCTTATAATATAAAAAAAAATTAGACAGCTTTTCTGTTGTATTTTTGTATGTATTGGATTAACTTAAAACTACTGGGCCGATTTAAAAAAAATATTTTACCAAAAATAGCTTGATTCTTACTGAGTAACGTAATTTTGCATAGATGTAGAGAATAGTATGGAAAAATGCATAGACTATGTAATTTTATTTCTTTTAATTTCCCACGAACGTAGTCGCGACCGAAAACAAGTCACAAATGAATTAACTTCCATTGTAATTTTTTCTTTTTTTTGTTTTTTTGCTTAAAAGAGATATTGTTTGTGTATAGGCTGGTGATTCAATGGCGGTTCGTGAGCCGTGTCCAGGAGCAGATGTGTGCGTTCCTGGAGGGTCTGGACGGGCTGGTGCCGCTGCCTCTGCTGAAGATCTTCGACGAGAACGAGCTGGAGCTGCTGGTGTGCGGCATCCAGCACATCGATGTCCGCGACTGGCGCACCAACACCCTGTACAAGGGCGACTATCACGCCAACCACCTCGTTGTGCAGTGGTTCTGGAGGGTTGGTGTCTTTTTATTCAGACTAAAAAACATTTTTATTAACCATTTAAGGGTCATTAAGACAAATTTCATTTTTACTAACTTTTTAGCTGTCATCTTAGTTATTTTTTTTTACTCAACATCCGCGGCTTTTTGTACTCTTAAGATTTGTACTCTTATATATATTGAAATAACTCAAAGTTACTGGGCTGATTTTAAAAATTCTTCCACCATTACAAAGCTATGTTATCGCTGTTAATATAGGCTATATTTCTTTACTACACTACACAAAGTCGGGAGGAACAGCTAGTAATAAAAAGCCATGTTTAAAACATCTACTATTTAAATTTATCTAAATGGTCCTTCGAGTCGGATTTAAATTTGTTCATAGTATGTAATATAATTGTATGTACCAGGTGGTGCTGTCCTTCTCCAACGAGATGCGATCTCGTCTGCTGCAGTTCGTGACGGGGACCTCGCGAGTGCCAATGAACGGCTTCAAGGAGCTGTACGGCTCCAACGGACCCCAACTCTTCACTATAGAGAAATGGGGGACCCCAGAAAACTACCCACGAGCACATACATGGTATTAACACTAATTACTGATTATAAAAAAACTGTTCTTATGACACTTTCTTTGTAAAAATAGATTCTGTCGGTAAAGCTACGGGTGTCTATAGTCGAATTCAATAAAAATGTACACATTTTATTGCCTAACACTGTTGTAGTCTATGGGTTTATTAAGAAGCAACTCATCTCTTTGATAAATCTGTAATTACAGCCTTATAAAAGTAAAATTGTTTAGAGGTTTCTTATAGTTTCCTTTTCTATTAAATTCGGTAACAGCTTGAAAATTTCTGACTTATGCACATATGTTTAGACACTGTATTGTTTTATATCTCTTAATACGTATTAGTAGATTTTTATTAATTTACTAATCTATCCTTTAACCACTTCAGGTAAGCTAAAAAAAACCTAGTGCTATATGGTTCACAACAATAGTCAAATGGCGGAATTCGAACCTATGACCTCAAGATCGGTAGTCCGTAATCATTAGGCTATTGACGATTTAAAATGTATAATTAGTTGACTAATTATCGTCTGTTTTATCAGTTTCAACCGCATCGACCTCCCGCCGTACGAGAGCTACCAGCAGCTGCGGGAGAAGCTGATAAAGGCCATCGAGGGCTCGCAGGGCTTCGCGGGCGTCGACTGAGGGTCGGCGTGGGCGCTGCGCACGCGGCTCGTCCGTCTGCTGGGCCTAGAGACGCGTCTAGCGCCCTGCCCCGGCCCCCCCACTGCGACACGCCCCAACACGCCCCCTACGTAGGCTACACAGCAACACCCCCTACGTAGGCTACACTGCGACACGCCCCAACACTACCCCTCCGAAGGCTTCACAACGACACGCCCCGCCCTCGGCCCTGCAAGCCACGCCCCCGTGTTATCTATACAACGCCACGCCCTACCTGATCTACATTCAACCTTATACATGTTCAGATATCTTCTATACCTTCCTATATTCTTACATCCTTTCATGTCTCGTTACGATGACGTCTACACACAACTATGACGTCACGATATACCACGTCATAGTGATGTTATAAAACATGATACATTTCTTACCACGTTTTTGGTCACCTACTACCACTCATTTCTTAATTTGCCACTAAAGATGTCACTTAGTGTAGATTTTTCATACCAAATTCACACTAAAGGCGACCCCAAAGTTTCTGAGAGCGGTGGTTATTCGTACAATGAATATTGTATAGCTTGTTATAAATTCTAAAACCAAAACTCGCATTTTTCGTGGTTTGTAGTAAAAAATAACAAAAAGTTACTTCTTACTCTAATACATTATGTAATACATAAATATATAAAAAAGACGAAAACCTTAAAACTGTTCATAGTCATAATAAATCTAATAAGTAACTGCGTGCTAGAATATATAAAGACAGCTTTGTTAGTGAGGTTTTAGGCAAAATAAAATATAAAGAAAATGATACAACTGCCTACAAAACTCAACTCTTTGATTTTACTATGAAATATCATAGATTCAAAGATAATAGGGCAACGAATTTAAATAAAATATATCTGTAATGCAAATTGTCAATTTTCACATAATTATGCCTTTTAAAGATTATAAATGAACAAATTTCAATATTGTATTTGCAAAATCTTTTAACTAAAATAGTTGTAATTATAATAAAGCTTAAAAAAAAGTAAATAAGATATTTTTCCAATGATAATAAAATGTATAGATTGGACTTTGGAAGGCGTGCATTCTGTACTTGTGGGCGTGGCCTAAATAGGCAACGCCTTTGTATCCGACAGCCAATCACAGCGCTTGGTTATATCTCTTGAATTGTATCATTTGTTTTTCATTAATTTTCTAGGAAAATTCAAATCAAAACAATTCGGCTAATTTTAAAAATGCTTAATACAAACGTTATAAAAAAAATTACAAGTATAGAGTGCATGACTAAGATAATGGTTTGAATGGGATTCAATGTAGTACATAGTTTGATTAAAACCGCTACATACGTCCAGTTTTAACTGAACAATTCTTATTAAAACTGAACGTCTGTAGCGGGCTTTATGTACTATAAAATTGAGTTTTCGACTTTTTCCATGTATTAATTTCTGTAGCCACATCTCGAATAAGTTTTGCGATGCCGTTATAGAAATATAAACTTAGTTATATGGCGTCCATACAAGTTTAGAGGAATTTAGTGCCATTGCGATTATTTTCCATTTTCAATAGTATTTAGACACATTTCTGAGTTTTCATTGATGAAATACATGTTGTTAATAAATCGTTCGATTTGAAATTAAGGTTCGAATGATCTTGCTTGTAAAAAGAACCTTTTGAAAGCTCATATTATTGTTTATTTTATTATAAGGCGTTTAGATGTTTTACGTACAGGTTTTCATTTTTTCTTATAGATTCGGTAACGAAATGTGTTTAAAATTAAAATTCTTTTATTTGAATATTTGACAGCTGTCAAATGTTCAAATGATTATCTGTGGTAAGGTTATTGTCCTTAGTATTATACAAAATACGCTGAAAAATATTATCGTTTAAGTTAATTTGCATTTATATAAGTTTTAGTTGGTTATATTTTCTCCAACTTGTATCGACGCGTTCATGTATTATTTTCAGATTTCGCTAATAATAAAAAAAAGCTTTCGCTTGAGAGGTTATAAAGTATATTTTCATATTAGTGTAAGACACGAAGTTTTGCGTTGTCAAGTTTTGTCTCTTTCTGTCTTAAGCGTTAATGCGTCTGTCTCGCTCGCTCCGTAGTTCCGGAGCTGACTTCAGACAGGTAGAACTTCGTGTCTTGTACATCACTTGTATATAGTTTTGTATAAGGTGTAAAAAATTGCCACAGACTGTCTAAAATTAAGATTGTCCATGAAATGGAGTGAAATTCTATCGGTATAAAAAATATATTATAGCTGTATCAAGCAATTGTTTACACCCTGTATTTATTTAGTCGTAATTATTTTTAAAGTCATTAATAATAATGTGTTTATTGAATCAAATACTTAATTTCTTTAGACGGATGTAGATTTTAATTCTGACAGGAGTGCTCTTTATGTCAGCCTGACGTGATGACGTAAGCAATAATTGACAGTAACTGTCAGATCACAAGGAATGACAACACTGAGAATTGCCTTTTAATGCCATTTTATTTTATTAAATTGTTGATCGCCTTATTATTGATTATTTATTTTTTTGCATATCTTAATAAAAAAAAACATAACCTTAAATAAATTGCTGCCTTTGTATATTTTCTTAATTTGTCTTCTATTGTATTTTTCTTTCACGGTTTAAGTAATTACGGAGTAGAGAGAAATCACTAATATCTGTCTACCCCAATTAGTTTACTTATATTTTCCTCCTTATCTATTTCTTCTTTATTATATACTAATTATTAACCATAAGGCGCTAAGAATGCCGTCCATAAAACAATGTAAAGAGCACTCCAATATTGTATGTTTTGGGACAGTTATATTGTAATGTAAGGGAAAAATTGCAATAATTATGTCAATAAAACTGTAATAATGTTAATAGAGCTATACGAATAATTATTCAAGCAGCCATTACAACTTTTTTACATGTAAATTGCATAATTTCTTGGTTTATTTATTGAATATTGTCCTTGTTTCAAATGTCACATTCGTAAGTTCAAATACTTGTACTATGATAGCTCCTGTGTAAATTGTCGTATGTTTAAAACATAAATTTTGGACGATAAGACTTTAAATAATACAATTAATTACGACTTGTAAAACAAATATGTAAGTCGACCAAAATTCAAAGTTTTTCTAACGTTACTTTAAAATTTACACGGAAAATATTATTTAAGGTTAATTTGTAAAAAAAGTCACGGTATAAATCCCAAAATTGTGACTTACGATAGTCTACGTAGGAGTCAATTTATATATGCGTCTTTTTTACTCTCGTTGACAAAGACCATCTCTGCTTGTCCGTTTAGATGTTCCAATGGAAATTAAAATTGGAATTTATAAATTTTGTTTTCTTATAAGTTGTGATTTTTCCTTCACTTTACATGTTTCGCAATGCATTATTGTATTGACTTGCATTAAATATTGAACAATCAAGTTTGAAGTCGGCCGACGATAATGATTAGTATTGGTTATATCCTTTGTAAATAGTTTCATTAAATTGAATATTTAAGGTTAAATAAAGTTATAATTTATCAGTTTCTAGTTTCATTTACCTTTTTCAGGTCACGGTTGGAATTAATTTCAAAGATAACTGGTTCTATTACTATCTAAAATGATTACTGCACTCAAATTAAAACATATTTGTACCTGTTTTAAACAGAATGCTGTAATTTTGTTAATTTTTCGGCAAAACCCACGTTTAAAGAAAGCAAAATAGTGAAATCCGCATAAATAAATAATAGACCAATCTCTGCCTACGACAAAAAGGTCTAGCTTGTTTTAATTAGTACAGAAACGAAATTACACAAAACATCGTGTTCATTGCCACATGTTTTACGCAAGTAACACGTATTGCTTGACGCTTTTTCCGTTGGAAGATTCCGAAATTAAAAAATGGATTTACAAAATTCGATACGACGACAAACTTGACCGATCGCCGATAGATACTAGGGGTCTAACGAAATGTGTGTCGCAAGCGCACGCCGAGAGAAGGGCTGCAGACCTCCCTGAGCCATTGCACAAATAACTTTCGCAATTGTTTTTAAATTCCACCACACGTGCGCCCGCGACGGCCAGTCGTGTCTCCCGCGCGCGCCGCTGTGTGCCAATTAATCCTCAAAAACGCGCTAATCTTAATCGTTTTCGCGCGTTGTGATCCTAGTTTTTTTATGCGTTCGGAAATTAGTTTACAGTAACAAAATACTACAGTAACTATTATTTTTAAAAGTTTTTAACTAAAAAATATTTAAAAGGACCTAAACATTTAATCTTGGAGACATAAAAATGTAAATTTTAATTAGGGAATCGTAATTATTTTTCTATAAAACTTCCTTAAAGTTAATATAATTCGTAGATTAATAGTGTACAAAATCAATGAGTGCAATTTAAAATAAGTGCAAATATTTATAAAAAATGGGGAAAATCAAGGTGTTTTTGGTGATCCTGCTAAACTTATGGACGAGCATAAGTGGAAGTATTATCTCATTGAACGGTAAAAATACAGTTTAATATTATTAGCACATTAATTTCTCTCTGATGTATATGTACCAAAGTTAATATTGACCTATTATAGATTTAATTAATGATTTATAATCACATCTTTATATAAATATTTTTAATGACATCGCAGTTCACCTACAATTATAACTAGATATCAGAATTAGGGTTCGATTAAAGCTTAACATTAAAAAAATTTGATGTCAAATGATAGAGACATCGTTCGCATCGTTCCCGCCGCTGTATGCACTAGAGGAGTGGACGCGGTGCCAGGGCGCTGAGGACGTATACTGCATGGTGGATGCTGCGTTGGTCGCCCGCACTGAATCACCGCTGCTGCGTTTGCTGCAGGTAACTACACGACCGCAACCGCGATACGTACTTAACGCACTTTCAGAGCAAAGATTAATAATGTCTAGACATTCCGATGAATTTAAAATTTAATAAGTTATTAGTGTCTCTTCGTTGATACTCTGTGGAAACTGAGAGCATGTTTAATGTATAGAAGAAAATACATTAGCAACGCATGTCTATTCTGTCCGACGCTAGTGTAATACCGGCTAAGAAATAGTCAGAGGTCGCGCAACTTGCCTTTGCAACGCGTTATGTCACCTCCAAAGGCCTTGACTTAAAATCTGCGCGAACGCAACCGCCTGAGATCATCGCAACGTTTATTTGTTTAACTAAATATCTGATTATAGTAAACGACATTAGATACAGATAGTTAAATCATGTTTAAAAAATTACAAATGGTTCGTTACAACTCGTCGCGTTTTGCTGACCGGAGTCGCAGATTGACGCGGCACAGACGTAAAGTCTGTTATAGACGTCCTTTTTTAAATAAGACTCGAATTGTTTCGTTCAATTGTAGAGAGCACTTACAATTAAAATTGTGCCTATACATGCACAGTTCTAACTGAACTCGACTGTACGCGGCAAGCTTTTTAGTACCTATTATGTCTCTATTACTTTTGGACATTGTCGGTTTAAGCTAGTCCTATTTTAAATCAACATATGTCAAAGAATAGTGACATGATTGGGTAAATTAAACTTGATATGGCGCCATAACTTTGTCAAAGGCGGTTGCAGATTTCAGTGTATTGCGCAGGTTCGCAAATGAGGCCGTAGTGAATGAACGGTCAGGTCGTAACACCACTGACCTAGGACAACTTGCACCAGCTGTTCCCAAACATTTAAAATAAAATTTATGCAAACAAATTCAATCGTTTCAAACTACGCCAGGGGCTATGAGAATAACAAAAAGTTGTGAAAGATACGGATTTATTCAATCTTAAACATCAAACCTACTAAGGATATTGTGGATAGCTAGCTATATTAAAATTCTAATGTAGGTAAATTTTTTATAAGAATCTTTGTCAGTGTTATCTAAAGTTCATTTGACAAGTCAATCTTACTAATGTTATAAATGCGAAAGTTTAGAAGGATAGATGGATGTTTGTTAGAGTCTGTAGCCTAAACATCTGAATTCTCAATAAAATTTGGCATAGATATAAAGTAGCCTGATAGAACACATAGGCTACTTACTTGTGTTTTTTAATTCCACGCCGACAGAGCCGCAGGCGAAAGCTAGTCGTAATATACATTTGAGTAACACTTGCTGGCGGTCCAATCTCACCAATATATTGGGCCAAATTGCAGATAAAACCGGTCTGTGATATTCTAGAGTAGTTTGCACTTGTGTTGTTTATTGAAGAGGTTTGGCCTATTTGGTACTGAGTACAAAACAAACGATGTATTTGTGAATTCATAAAATTAACTAATGAAAGTTAAAGACTATAAAACTGAAGGGCCAATATATTTGTTAAATGTAATATTATTCGATTGTTGTGAACTCTAGGACCGTATCGCTGAAACTAAGATCTCAGTTAAAATGATTTGTGAAATAAACAAACCTTTATTAAATGTTAAAGGATTACCTTAAAAAAAAAAACAATTAGATAACTTGCTAAATATTTATTAAAAATGTTCCATGATTTTGAGACTAGACAAGAACTTCTTTTTATTTCAATAGTTTTTTCTTTATTAAAGATTTTTATTATATCAAAATTTATGAGATACCCATATATTTTTATATGTTAAAATAACAGCATAGTGGTGTAATAGTAAGGTGCTTGAACTATCAGAGTGGGGTAAGGTCATCAAAGCTTGCAGCTGTTTAGTGAACGTAGAACCGGTTACCGTGAGTTCCCATTGCCGAAACATATAAACAAAACATGTCCTCGTCATTCTCTTTGGAAAAATGTTAGCTATATATTTTTGTACACTTGCAATGGAAACTTACGGTATCTTATGTATTTACATTTTTTAAAGTTGTTTCAATGACGTTAGTGATTATACATCTGCAATAAACAGTCTTTGGCGTGATTTTAACGCCTACTTGATATATAATTATTTTGAACTGATTCAGAATAATCATACTAAATACTTTAATGATTGCCCAGTTCCGTATTTCATTAACTTGAATGATAAGGTCGCATAACGAGTCAATAACTTTTCAAGACTTTCGAGCCCAAAACCTTCACAATTTCCTCAAGTCTGTATGTTCAGGTCATTAACCTTTTGTACGGAAATTTACCTTTATTTGTAAACTTACACGATACACGCAGTTAACAGATATATGTAATTATACATTAATGTAAATAAAACATAATTAAAAATAATTACAAATATAAAATTCCATTTGTAACAAGATTTACCTTAGAATAAATAATAGCAAAATATCATATACGTAATAGTGACATAACATTGTTCGTAGGAGTACTCAGCGCAAACACTGAAGCATTATAACAGGACGGTGGTACATCGAGGGGTGTGCGTGTCGCGCTGCGGGCAGCCCGGGGACGACGGCGAGTGGACACAAGCCGCACAGCAATGCGTTAACCAGAGTATGCTGCAGTACGGACTTGAGGTAAGAATCTCACTAGAATCGCTGAAAACTGCAACTCGACCAAATGACTCAAAAGCTATAATGTTGTCTTGCAATATCAACTGGCATTTGTCATAGGCAGAGGTGATATCAGCACAATGGTGCACTACACCGAAGCCAGAGCGGCCATCGAGCTCAGCGCGGTTTCTCGGCGTACTCTGCATTGCTCTACTGGTACTGGCTGTGCTAGCTACTGGCTTACACATCTTAGGAGACTGCTGCAGTACTGTGGAAGGTAAGTCTGTACAAAACTATATGACACAGGATATAACGTAGAGGTACACAAGTATTAAAAATAATAGAATTTTGTAAATATGCTACGGGAAACTATAGTTTGATAATTTTACAGAAAGTTTTTTAATTCGAAAGCCTAAGTCATTTCGTATTTACAAAAAAATCAGTAGTTCTATGTTTTGTTTCAGGCAACAAATACTTATTAGCTTTTTCTTTGAAGCGAAACTGGTCTATACTGAATTATGACAGGACGAAACCTCGTAGCGACGATCGTATGAAGAATTTAACAGCTATGGAAGGCATCAGGTATTTTTTTTTGGATGCTTAGATTAAGAAATGTAATTTATTTAAGTTAAGAGAGTTTGTTTTTGTATGAATTTGTTTTCCTTTGTGGCTAAAATGCTTTTAAATGTATGTATTCCACTATTAAATTATTTCTTTTAATTTTTCAGGTTCATAGGAATACAATGTGTTATTTTCTCTCACGTTTTGTGGATTTATGTGTACTCTTACATTGATAATCCACAGTTTGTTGAACATGTAAGTAATTGAACTATAAATATTAACATAACCTATTTTAGTTTACGTATTTGGAATAGTAATTTTCATAGTATACGTGTTTACTAAAGTTCCTATAATAATTTCCAGATGTACGATAATTTTGCGTGGAAGATGGTTTTAAATTCACCTGTGTGGCTCCAAGCGTTCTTCTCCCTGTCAGGCTTCCTGACCGCGTACTCCGTCCTCATCACAACTGACACCAACCCTATAACCTTCGGGAAGTGTGTACTCTCCATAATAAATAGATGGATCAGGTAAATTCCTATAATGTTTTCTTTGTTTGGAGTTGTTGTTATGTCTTCTTTACGTCTCTTCTACCGATTAATGATTGAAAATATTATGATAGAAAAAGCATTCTTTCGTAAACTCTAGTTTGTAAATAAAGAGAACAAATAACTTGACACAATTTAAAGATATTTAAGATTTTATGTTATACGATATCTGTATGATAATTTGCATTTACAGAGACTCAATGATATTATAAGAGCACCTGTACATATTTGACTAAACTATCTAATAAGCTTATATGGAGGTGTGCACATTACACTATTTTGTGTTGTGCAACTAAACAATTGAATTGGCTGCGAAACAATCGAATATCGCACTACAGTTGTGCGATAGATTAGTCAAAGGCCCGAGCTAAATGTGTAAAGTAAATAAGTCGAACGTTGTAACTAAGGTTGACGCCGGTGGCGGGGCTCGCGCTGTGGTTCACGATGTCGTGGTTCCCGCTGCTGGGGTCGGGGCCGCAGTGGGGGCTGCTGGTGCGGCGCGAGGCGGCCGACTGCGCCCAGCGCTGGTGGTACCACATGCTCTACGTACACAACCACATACCGCTCGGCAAGATGTGCATGGGACATACTTGGTGAGTCTCTTCTAGTACATAATTAACGCGGGGTGCGTTATTAATTAGTACGTTATAGCGGGGTCTCGAATTTATTTTCGAAGTCGAATACGACTTAGTTCCTAATGTAGTATAAATAATTAAGTACTTAGACTTTCTATCATTTTGAAAATGTGCCCTTAGCAGTGGTAGAGCTAGCTTTAACGTCTTCGCACTGTAGGACTCGCCCCCAGCAATACCACGACCACACAGGAGACAGGCGTGATCTGGGAGCAATTCCGCGTTTTTTGTGGTGCCGAAGACCTAAAAATTGTCCATTTCTCTTTCCGCCCTTTTCTTAAAAGGAAATGATGGGAAGGAAAAGTGGATTTGACGGCGGAGGAGACGCATAGGAAGGGGAAATATCTCGTTTATGTGCGTCTCCTCTTCTGTTGATTAAGGGTAGGCAACGTATCTGCAATTGCGGATGTCTATGGGCAGCGGTCGCTTCGCCATTTTGGCGGAATCAGGTGGCCACTTGCTTGTTGCTACTTACCTATATAAAAAATGTACCATGTGATGTCGTCCCAGGTACCTGGCGGCAGACATGCAGCTGCACGTGGCGGGCGTGCTGGCGCTGTTGGTGGCGGCGCGCTGGCGGCGGCTGGCGGCGCCGCTGCTGGCGGGGCCGGTGCTGGGCGCCGCGCTCGCCGCCGCACTCCTCACATACTTCTACAACCTCACGCCCATCATCACTGCACAGCCTCCTGAGTATACCACGCTAATGCTTTTTACTTATTTAAACTGTGAATTAAATTAAGGGCATTAATATAGCTGTTAAGGTTTTTCATTTGTACATTCGGTAGCCACTAGTTTCTTTATTTATTTTATCTATTCTGTTATTCATAGTAATTAATATTTTTAATATAGGCAATTTTTGTAATAGAAACCAAAAAATTGTATCTCTGAATGTTTTTAGGTTACTTCGCAATCTATTCGGCGGGTCGCAGATACTCCCGCTGCTGTACCTGCCGAGCTGGATGAACCTCGCGGGCTACATGTGCGGGGTGGCCAGCGCCTTCCTGCTGCACTACACGCAGACTAACGCAATAAACTTAGCTGAGAATAAGGTTACCATCACTGATAATAGTATTTTGCTCTCTCAGTCTGTCAGTTTACTAATGAACTTTGTTTGCAGGTGTTCAAGCTGCTGTTCCACGCGTCGCTGTCGCTGTGCGGCGCGGTGGTGGCGTGCGGCGTGGTGTTCCTGGCGGACGCGCCGCCGCCGCGCTGGCTGACGGCGCTCTACGCCGCGCTCGACAGGACGCTCGTCGCTGTTTTCTTCAACATATTCCTGTTAGGCTGCTTCACTCGGTGCAAATGTAAGTCAAATGGTCATTGTAACACGATAAAATCTTATATGGAACAGTTCAAGTGCAGTTTATATTTTGATTCAACTAAGTTTGGATTCTCCAGCCTCTGATCGCATGACGAGATGCAGGTAGTCAGTTTTACGTAAGACATGAAGTGAAGGTGTGTCTGTCCGCAGCGCCGGCGCGCAGTGCGCTGGAGTGGCGCGGCTTCCACGCGCTGGGCCGGCTGTCGTACTGCGCCTACCTGGTGCACTTCATCGTGCTGCGCCTCACGCTGGCCGGCAACACGCAGCTCGGCCACGCCTCTCTGCTCTCTATGGTCATACCAACTCATACATTACACGCTTTCACATTATCCCACGTACATAATTGCCTGTGCCTTGTCTTAGCACTGTGTAGATTTTCTCACTAACTGCCACATTCAGAGTCCTTCATTAATGACTAAGGGAACCTCTGTGTGCGGCAGTAAGGAGTTAGGAGTACCGTGTCCTAATTCTACTGGTGCGGCCTCATCTGCTAAATAAAATCACCATCACGCTATTCGTATAGTGGGAAATATATCTAAACAGTCTCTAGAGAGTCCTCATAGTTTTAGTTTACGTTATCAATATCTTTTTAAATTGCAGATATCATTGTTGATAACGGCGTCAGTACTGACGTACATAGTGTCGGTGCCGCTGTGCCTGCTGGTGGAGCTGCCGGCCATACAGCTGTGGAAGGCGGCGACGGGCGCGGTGGGCGCGGCGGGTGCGGGGGGCAGGGAGCGCGCGCCCGCCGCGCCCCCCGCGCACGCCCCCCTACCGCCCAGCCCCAACACGCACAAGTTCGACCTAGTGGCACACATACGGCGCAGTGCTGTTTAATTTTAACCATAATTTATTGTAAGAGAAAAAGCTAAGATAGTAAAGTCATTAATTCATATGAAATCTAAAATGTAAGAATACTGTAAAAGTCGAAAAACCCACTATTTTATTAGGTTTACTATGTGAAGTGAATAAAGTGTAAATATTATATTTGAGTACTTATAACAAAACTTTCTTTTATTTCCTACATACCTAACGATAAAAGGCGCTTACTGTATTTAATTCGTATAATATACATTTTAATTCGTACGCCGTTAAATAAAAATATGTTACGAAAATTGGCTTACGGATTGATTTAAAAATCATCTCTCCTATCTTATCAAATTCCCGTAGGGTCGGCGCACAGAGTTTTCGTCCTTCAAATAACTCTATCATCCGTCATCTCAGTCATCACTCCCATCTTGATCCTGTCACCTTTCACGTAATCCATCCATCCCTTTCTAGGGTCAAAAAATAGATTAAAAATATAGCCGTTTTATTCATTGTCCAATAATGTACGAGTACAACTGTAAAATTCAAAAAAACTGAAAAACAATAATCGAGGTCGTCCCTGGAAATTTCGACATAATTAATTATTCTTACACAGAATTTTGTTTTCCTACACGTGATAAATAATTTTTTTTAAAGAAGACCCGATGATTTTTTTATTTATTGGAAATTATTTAATGTTGCCATTGTTTAACTTGTTACCGACAGCGCGGCAGCCAAAAATACAAAACACCTTTTTATACTTCACATCTTTATTGAAAAACTTATTTACACAAAAAATATACAAAAATCTCAAAACTATGTCGATCACATTCTTGACTTCTTCTTTTATATATTTTCTTTTACAAACGATTATTGCCTTGGTGGCCAGTATGCAACCTCTTTGGCTGTATACATACTGCTTGTCAGCCAAAGAGGTTGTATTTTACACTCAACTTCCGTTACTTACTTTCAACTTGATTCCGAAAACTGGACTGGGACAATATAAACTGGGCTGAATAGTTACTATAATTAATTCCTTGAAAGAATACATTTCCTTATAGTAAAAATTTGACCAAGTTTAATTTAATTCAGGTTAAAAAGGTTATTAACGTTACGAAACAAACATTATTGTATGTAATATATATTTCTACAATACTACATATAATTTTCAATGCATGAAGCTCCAGTTAAATTAAACTATATGAATATGCGTTTATTAGATGGTTTAATTTTTATTATAGTAAGTATAAAATGACAAACGAAACTCTACCGTTACTTGCCGAGATAGCAAAGCAACCATTGCGTATAGGCAACCGCATTTGCAGATCCGTTGCCTACTTTTAATCAGAGACAAGGACGCACAATAAGTGGACCAAATGTAAAAGACTTCATAAACAAATAATTCTATATATTATACTAATACAAGATGTTCCCGCGGGTTAATTACAATGAAATTATAATAAGTTTATTTTTTTGTTAACATTTGTAATTTTTTTAATTGCAAATGTTAAAATGCAAATGCACAAAAGACAACGAAGGCCTTTGGATAACAATTACCGTGACCTTGGCAACCTTACTTCCTCGATGTTGTCTGCTTGTAGGTTTTGTTCATTCCCAGCGTGACGGTTTTATCCATATTTATTTACTCTCTAAATTTAGATTATAACTAGCTGTTCCCGTGCGACTTCATCCGCATGAAATTATGAAAATTTTACTTTAATGTTTACATTTGTCAAATTATCAATAACAAATGTCAAAATGACACAAAAAGACAAACATTAAGGATGCATAGTTAACACTTCACTTGAAACATTTTATATAATCTCACTAGTCCCATAGTCAATCACGAACAAAACAAAGCATTGAGAAGCGTCTCGGCGTGTCCAATTTTACATTGATATTACCGTTATTATTCCCACGTCTAGTCATTCGTCACCATTTACTTTTTTTTATTATTTAAACGTAAAGGTTAGACGCTAGTTTAATATGTACATTATTTTCTACAAGGATGTTTCATTTGATCGTTCATTTATTCGTTTTTTAGTTATACCTAATTTAATCAGACTTTATGAAACAGACCCACATTAATTACGGTCCCTTAAAAACTTAACTAAATCCAAAAGCCCAATTTTAGGGGAGAGCTTGTCAAGCAACTCGAGTTTTACTATCATTCGGTGATGTACTTTGGTTGCAGAGATTTTTTAGTTACATACATAAAGAAAATAAGGAATCAACGTGTAATATTTGTAACTAACTTACATAGCGATACATTTTAAAGTATAGTTATTAATTATTACTTAACAAGAACTTAATGTATATTACTTCGGCATATTTTTCATCAAATACATAACTGACTCGTATAAAATTTTAATTGGGTATCATTTTTAACTTACTGCTCCCAACAATTAACATAACACGGGAGAAATACTTATTTTTTGCAGTTTCTATCGAGATCTCTTGACAACCTTTGGAACTACGGTATTTTAAGAATACAATTGAGACGGGAAACTAGCTAAGGGGCATCACTTACACTACTCTATGGCTCTGAGTACAGCGGTTAGACGAAAAAGTACGCTTTTTATTTTATTTAACTAATATTTTAAAGTGAATGCATAATGTAGGTCTAATAAGTCGCAAAACATTTTAATGTTTCAATGCTAGCCGCAATTCTGCGATTTTATGTTGAATTTCATTAATTAATTTGTTTTTTAGATATATATAGTTTTAGAATAGCGGACAAACCGACGACACGAAAAAAGCGACTTTTTATCAGACATGCTTTATATATTTTTATATCTTAAGGTGGCAAAAAGCAAGCGACTACCTGATTATCCCAAAAAAAACATACAGACGAATTGAGTACCTCCTTCTTTTAGGAAGTCGGTCAAAAAATGGCGAAGTGACCGCTGCCCATAGATATCTGCAATTTCAGATGCGTTCCCTCCTTAATCGATGGAGGAGGAGGCGCAAATAGAGAGGACTCCGTCACCACGCTCATCAGGCGAATTGCAAATATGTTACTTATTGCTGGTCTCTTAATCACGTGCCGCTCGAAAGAGGAGACGACGGTTCCGAAGAAATCACAAAATATCATAAGTAGATCTAATTATATATCTCGTGTATTTAATGTAATCGAGGAGAGTGATGCCAACTGTTAACAATAATTGGAATGAGTTTGCAGCATAACCCTAAATGTAATTTCTAATTTAAATATAAAAAATGCTGGAATGTCAAAATAGTATAAAAGTACATCAAAACTGTAAACGGCGTGCACTAATATTTTTGTATTTGTACAATGCATACCGACGGTGACAGAACAAGTGATGCGCGTGGAACGACGTTCGGGGATGAGCGAGGCATACCTACTGGTGATGAAATCGTCATCAGCGGAATATCGGGAAAGTTTCCCATGTCCCAAAATGTTGCAGAATTCATGGATAATTTGTACAATAAGGTAAAAAATAGTCATTGTAGAATAATTTAGAATTTGGAACCTCAAATCTTCGGTCCTAATGAATACGTTTCGATGTTTCCTTTTATTCGAAAGTTGCTACTCTTCGTGTGTTCTTACATAAATTTTATCTTACCATTATTTTTAAGGTTTTTCTAAATAAAGCGCTTTTATTTCTTAGACTTCATGTATTACCATCTCATACAACTTGATAAGTGGTGGTTTGGAAAAAATGTAGTACTACTCGTACTAGATTTTCCCTTTGCGACAATGACGGTCAATAGGTGACATAAACATTAGATGTTATTTCAATTTATTTGACTGTAAGATTAGCTGATTTATTTTATCAAAATAAGACTAATTTTAGATAGATATGGTGATTAAAGTAGAGCAGAACGTATTCCACCCCGAGTATCGGATGCATAAAGGGACAATTGATGAAATGGATAAATTCGACGCAACATTTTTTAAAGTGACGTATAAGCAAGCCTTGAGCCTGAATGCTCAGTGCAGACAACTGATGAGCTATGCCTACGGCGCTGTTTATGATTCGGGTAAGTTTTTAGTGTGACTTGCATTGCTACTATTAGCTTTTAGTCGTGTGTATTATAACACTTTATAATCTACTTTTAGTCGTGTGTATTATAGCTGAAGGTAGTGGCCATCCAGATACATCTATATCCATAACTTTTTTTAATGATTTTTATGAAGTTTTTTATGGCCTTCTAGAAAACTTATCTGAAAACGTATTTTCTTTAGGAAATATGCCTTTTTATAAAGAATGAAAACTGAATTCAATTTTTTAAATAACTAATATCAAACCCGAAAATCATAAACGAGTAAATACAGGCACAGCAAATGCTGGACGTATAAATATAATGATGAAAATATAAATATAAATATAAAATACTTATAATTTTTAAGGTATAAACCCTCTACAAATGAAGGACAAAAATTTGGGCGTTTTCATTGCATCATCTGCCGTTGGCGATAACAATTTTTTGTCACGTAATTATGCTAAGACAACTAATAACTTCTTCATAAGTGGGTAAGTCTTCAAACTAGTATTATAGCAAAGGTTTAGATGGATGGTAGTTTGTTACTACGTATTTCTAAAACGGCTTAACTGATCTCGATGAAGTGAGTCACAGATGTAAAACATAGTCTGGAAGAAAACAGCCTTTACTAGGTTTTCTTTTTAATTCCGTGCGGGCGGAGTCGCGGGAAAAAGCTAATATTGTTGTAATTCGTAATGTGTTAACATTACTTTTTATTTAGTTATAAAATAAGCAAGTCGTAGTATAAGTAATTGCCATATTTTAAGAAATTCAAGATTATGTGTGAAATCAAGGATCCGCAACTGGCTCAGTGTGATTGAATAAGACTGACTCACTTTATTTATGACGTTTATTGTCGAATATACTACCATTGCCTTATTTAGACTGTTATCAAATTTTCTATATCTCTTCTGAATATTTATACCAGGTGCAGTAAATCGATGTATGCGAATAGAATATCGTATTGGTTTAATAGCAAGAGCCCTTCTTGCTACGTTGACTGTGCATGCGTGGGGTCCTTGGCGGTCGTCGACATCGCCTGCCACAGCATTCTCAGCGGAGCATGCGACGCAGCGCTGGTCGGGGGGACCAGTATGTGTATCAGCCCCACCGTTACTGTCAACTTAAACAAGTATGCTACCTACTATTGAACCATTGTATTATTCATGTTGT